AAGAGTATGATGTTGATCTGCTAATTGCAATGCACTTTGAGGTGTTGTATGGAGATGAAATACGATGTGGTACTTTTCATACAGAAATATTATTTATACAATATTTTAAAGAATGAAATTAAGGAATTATTATTAACAATGCAGTTGAAATTTAAGGAATTTAAGAATATTAATCCGTTATAAATGAGTAAGGTGAAATCTAATTTTACGCACAATAAAACATGTAATTAGCATTGTGTATAATATTTTGTATATTTAGTTGAGTTTATTTTAGTTGACGGCCTGATTGTATTATAATGATCTTAAGTCTTAACTTCTTTGGTACTACGGTCGTTCCGATTGACGTCATAAAATGGCGACTTGGGCAGTGACGTCATGAGCACTTGTAAGTTTGATTTATAGTTACAAGGAAATGTGCAAGGCTTTTTTTTCTCTTGCATGATTTTACTAAAACCCCTTATTATCCATATCCGGTCAGCATGCATAGCGTGCAAACAAAATAATCTCCTGGGATGTGGTTACTGTAAAATTTCTTAGCGTCCACGTTAATAAAAGAAATTAATAAATATGTAAGTGAGTGTAAAATGTTTAATGATATAATGTGACAGAACACGGCACAGAATTACCCAAAATTTCTATTAAATATTACGTGTATATGAATGAGAGACACAAAGGGACAAAACAGTGTCTAAAGTCTAAACTAAAATTAATAAAATACAGCCTTTGTTTGATTGTTGTACCTTAATTAGGTAAATATTCCCAATAATAACAGTTTTATTACTGGTGACGCGTATTATATCGACATGTGGTTTATAGTACCTACCTACGTACATACAAACTTATTTGTTTTCCGCTGTGCCCTGTCGTGACACGTTTTGTATGAAGCTTAAGAGGAAACTAATAATAAATAATTGTTGTTAATTAAAAACTATTATGTTAGTTGTAAACGGCGACCTGAATAATTTATCACACTGTTGCTTTAATATTGCACTACACGAAAGTCAGGAGTTGACTTTAACGTGATCTCGAATTGGAGTTTGATTTGAAAAGAATGTTATTTTTTATATAATTCGACAACCGTATACATATAGGTGAACATTTTCATACAGGTATAACTAAATTTCGTCTAGTTTACGTAACGCTTGCCATGAAATCAAAATAAGACGTTTTTGTGCACTCAGCTTATTCTTTTTTGTAGTAATAAATTGTACAAAACATTTTGTGCCTTAATTTCTATAAATTCAAAAGGCAATAAATTGTATAGTTATTTTAAGTAAAGTCGTATGCCCATTAATTGTAAAGAGCTTGTTTATAAAAGTAATGAATAGGTGCATTAGTCTTTTTTGTCAGTAATGCATGGTAAGCGTTGCATAAACAAATGCAATTTATTACCTACCTTTATACATGGCCTTCGTGCGGTAAGAGAAAGGGTTTTCAAACACAGGTTGCAAGCATAAAACATAGCTCTAGTGTAATGGTTTCCAAAACATTAAAAGTATAAAAAAATACGTCATAAATATAATTTTAAATGTGAAGTGAGTTTGTGATTGGCTCTTTAAAAGATTGCTATATGTACTAGAGCTAATTAGAATTAAGTACCTACTTGTAGCAGTGATACAGACGTTGTATTAAGATTAAAAATTAATTAAGTCCTAGTTAGATGTGAAATCGACTTACGAATTGAATAAATGTACCTAGGTGTCTTCTCATACGCTCCCCTAAAACTGTGCAATCTTTTTTATAAACTGAAGAAATACCTAGTTAGTCTTTTTTTATTACTGAACGTTAAATCAATCGATAATTTTAGGAAATAGGTTTTTCATTTTCCACTGAATGATAATTGTGCAAGAAAAATGTGTGGAGACTGTTTGTATTAAATTGACTGTGTATTTACGACGCTAGTTTTATGTTGTGCATCAATTTTAAAAGATCTAATACGTATCAATCAATCAATAGTAGCCTGTATGCACTATAGAAGCATCAGGGCATAAAACGAGACATTCTTACAAAACTGTACCACAACTCCTAAATCAATTTATATCCAACCAGTCTCCATTACTTAATGTAGTGATAAAAATTAATTGTATTTTTAAAACTTATATTCTTGTCAAAACTTGTAATCGGAGGTGCTTTTTATGTGAAGTATAGTTGATGGAAATGACATGGTGCGTTATTTTTGTTTTTTTTTTTTGTTTGTACGCGTAGACTACGTAGTACATTTTGTATATGTAGGCAAATTCAGGCAGTGATAATTTAATTTTATTTCTATAAATATTAAATAGTATTCGGTGTAATAATTAAATGTAGGGATTAGTGTGTGTATCTAGTATAAAACTTACGCTATAAGACACTTTATTTATATACAACGATTATAACGATAACGCACACTTCATTGATGTATTTGTATATAATTTTGTTTTGTTTTTGCCTTTAAATGGCGCGAATCGGTACTACTAATTTATTTTCTGCGAAAATGTGTATTAATTATAAGATATCAGGATTTATCTATCCTATCCTGAAGAGCAATACTATTGTTAATAACAATGTTAAGATGAGTTACTTGTTAATTAAATTTTTTTGGAAATTCTTAAAAAAAATGTTTCTTTGAATTTGTAAAAATGATAAAATGGAACTATCTAAAAGAACCTATTCGAAAAAGTTACGGCCAATTAAAGTTTACACATACTTTTTTTTTGTTATAGATTTACCAGTGTTGGGTATAGTGTAATTTGTTTGGTTTTTAATTCACAGTAAACCCAATAATTATATCTTTGATGTACTTCCTTACATATTACTTAAAATAACATGAGGATAAACTACATTTAGCAGTCCTTGGTAACAAATTGGCTGCCGCACAAAATATGAAAAATATTAAAATTAAAAGAAATTGTTAATAATTAAAAATTAATAACGTCTTATATCGATGTTTTAGTGTACCTAGTACGCGAATTATAATATTTTATTCACACCCTAATAAGGGTATAACAAATGTCTAAATACTTAGAGAAATTGTCACTGCTTGAATTATTCAGAGCTATTATATGTTGTTGGCATTTTATTTAAACTATTATTCCAATTTGTAAAACTGAGCTAAAGTAATCGCATGATGGTAGAGGAAAAAAGTTTTATCGTCCGATAAAAATATATGTTGTGTTTTATTGTATATTATCAATAAAATGTGATACCGACTGTGTGATCGTTTTTATCTTAGCTAACTCCTGTCCTTAGTTGGAACCTCACCTACATTGTACCTCAATAGCGCTTTGCATAGCAAAGACTATCCTGACGTTCTTCGCGCCAAATATTTAAACTGCACTGGTACAACATGTTTTTACATGCATTTGATTTCATTATGATAGAGTTGACTGCCCTGAACTCTTTGAAAAGTTGTCCCTCAATGTTCCCTCGAAATTAATGCAGTTACCTATTAAAGTCAATATTCGTGTGAATCTGTGACTCAATGTTACTATTTTTCTGCTAAATCTGTGTAATGTAGCTGTTGATTCACCATTTAATAAATAAATTAGTATTTGACGACCGCTTACCAACAGGTAATCCGTCTGCTCGTTTGCCCCTTATTCCATAAAAAAGCTATTTTATAAGCACTAATAACCTTAAGTCATAAAGAAAGAAAAAATATTGTGTATACCTAGGTAGGTATACACAATATTTTTACAACTTACGTACGTAGGTCGTGGGCTGTAAGTTGTAGCAACCTGTTACTCTCAAGTGATACCTAAATAGCAACAGTTCTGTTAATAGACTTCAAAATAAGGAGAGGTGCTGCATACCCTGACTAAAGTGTTATGTTACATTCAGGATGCTACCATCAAAAATGTCCGCTGAAACTACGATCTCGATAATTCCTCCTATTTCGTACCTATTCATAATTCACTTCCAATACCGATATTCATATTATTCACTAATATTTTATGCATGCGCGCATTGAAGCAGAGACATGACGTCTATACTCTATAGCGCTGCGCCCGCCGTTGTAATGTAAACAGTTGACCCTTTAGATAAACTGTTGTACACTCAAATCCTTTGTATCGAAAGATAAAGCTTTTCAAATCTATGTACATGGATAAGGATGGGCATACATAATGCAATGTGCATTCAATGTTCAGTGATAATATTTTCTGTGGTTTTTCCTTATGTAACAGTATTTTTATTTACTTAGTGTTTCATGTAATACAAAAATACCCAATATAAACGCAAGGGTTGTCTCCGGAGGGTAGACATAAGTGTCATTTAATATGTGAGCCTGTTGCCATATACCTGGCTCGATTCCAGGTTCTGTGACAGTATATGTACTATATTATATATATTTTATGGGATTTTTTTTTAATGGGGGAAAATCATCGAATGACTGCTCCCGCCTGGGTGAGTCGGGAGGGAGTGTCAGCCGGAGCCGCGGTTACCCGTTAGGTTCTCAGCGACATATTTTATGGGAAAGCCGATAAACGATCATACGGACCACCTGATGGTGAGCAATCGGCGTCGCCCATTGACACACGAAACACCAGGGGCGATACAAATGCTTTACCGGCCTTTTGGGATTTGGGAATTTGCGGATTGTGGAGGATTCGGGGATTGGGGAGACTGAGGAGAGGGAGTAATTGTAAACACAACGCAAGCGTTGTTTCACGTCTGTTTTCTGTGAGGCCGCGGGATCGCTCCTGTTGAGTCGGCCCATTCGTGCTGAAGCATGGCTCTCCCACACTTGATATGCCCTTGGTTTTCTAAATTATAGCTTCATAAATTGTTAACTCAAAAATGAGTAATTATTTGAGTAAAGAACTAAAGATGTTTTAAGACAAGGTTTATTAGAATAAACAAAGTGATTTTAGAAGATTTATTGAGCTTAACAATTAAAACAGAAGAAAGTGTCACACATTTAAAACTTGAGATTTTCTTTCTTTCATACAAATTAATAGGTTATTTCCAATTATTGTAATGTTTTCCTACATTCGATTTTGAAGTTATGTCAAAGTAGTCAGTTAGTCATCATTGTTGACTTGAATTTCTTCAATACCATCACTCTCAGTTACCAGAGCCCTCTCCAAGATCACTCTGCCCTCCTTATACCTAGGAAGAAAAATAGAATATTATAAACTAAAAAACTTCTTTCTAAAGAAATTATGGTTCACTGAACTACAATTTTAGTTATTAGCCAACTTCACAAAAAGAAGGTCAAAGGAAAGGAGGTACTCTATTGAATATCTAAATAGTTTTTGTAACTACACTGCTCCAACAGTAGTGGGTAGGTGACAACGTCCAGGTTCAATTCCTGCGAGGAACAACTATGTAATCCAGGTTTTCTCAGTATAACAATTGTATTACTAAATGAAAAAATAAATGAATCTTGTGAAACACCTATTATGATCTATTATTTCAAAGACAAACTACAAACCTCTGGTTCTCTTCAGTGGCAAATTCATAGACCCATCCTAGCTTAGTGCCACAGTTTTTGCAAGAGACATCGCGCACCATATGTCGGCCCGTCAGCATCACACGATCTTGTACTTCAGAGTAAACTAGGTTTACCACTTTATGGAATAAGAATGCCCGACCTAAAACCAATATAAAATTGAAAGGTGTAAGTATCTGAAAAAATGTTGTAATTAGCTTTGTTGACAATATAGGTGTTCGCTACATGCAACTGTAGATTTCAATCTCTCTTCAACTACATACATTCACGTAACTTTTTTCAATGTCCTACATACAAACACATAGTTATGCTAATATATACATAATTCATAAGAGTTGCTTGTAAATCTTGGTAATATTAAACGCAGTGATGTTGCAAAATACTATTGCGTGAACAAACAAACCCAAAATAATACTACCTGTGGCTCCAGTAAAACGTGTGCTGATCAGTTCCGAACGATTCGTCAGGTTCACATCGCAAGATGCACATGAGAATAAACGGGTACCACCAATGTGGTCAAGAAATATTTTACCCATTTTTAAGCTTTACAATTTCTTTATTTTATTTTCTTTGTTTGTTGTCAAAACAATCAATATTTCGCTCAGCTGACGGATGCGTCACGTAGTTGACATCTAGCTGTCACAATGGCAAATGAACTGTCGTTCTGAAACTCAGGATATTGGGCATATTGTTGCTTTTATAAAAATGCAACATAAATTATTGAAAGACTACGATGAATCATTTTTATTAAATTACTAAATAAATGTTTTTTTTTTATATAACCTTTACCTTTTCAAATATACATATTTCTTACATTCAAATCATGGAAGCGAAACTGTTTTCTCGAACGAATAACAATAATAACAATAATCGAACGACATTCAAAAGTATTAAAATAAATATTTTTCACAGGAAATTTATCATATTATTATTTTTACGTGGTAGAGGTATGAGGTAGATATAAGACAATATAAAAATTGAGACCACGATCAAAGATCCTTTGGCTCTTCACATTTCATCAATGCTTTATTTGTCAGTTTCCAAGGCAACTGTCTTTTCATTTTTACGTGAACTATGAATTTTATAAAAAAAAGTAAACACAGTTACGTCTGTTATTTTATTTTTACAAAATTAAATAGATTTAATTCATGAATAGTTATTATGGAAGGTATAAAAGAAGAGGCCATACATCATACAGCATTAAAACTTGCGGAAGAAATAAAAAATCTCTCAATTTATAAATCATTTTATAGTGATGTACAGGTATGTATTGGTAACTTATTTTTTTATTTCCGCAAATAATATTTCTTTACATTATCATCTTGTAGACTATCTATAACAGACGATGAAACCTTCGTAAAATAAATTAATAAATTATGAATATAAGTAGAAATAAAAAATGGTAAACAGCATTACCATTGGGGTTAGGGCCGGAATTCGCTATTAGATCGGAGCATCCATCACTATCATATCGATACAAAATAAAAATGATAGCCTTTTTACACGCACTTTAATAGTGAACTTTATTTCTATTTTTTTTTTCAGAAATTAGTATCATCGCCAAATGTTAAAAAGGAAGATTTCAAACAAACATTACAACAAGCTATGAAAGAAAAGGGATTAGATACTAAACTTAGGAATACAGTTTTTCATTGGGTTAGGACACAAAGCAAACAAAATGTAAGCATAAGTCTGAGATTTTCCACACTAGAATTCCTAAAAATCGTCTAATACTGTCTCTAAATCGATTGGTGAATAAATGTCCAAATTGTTACATTTTTCAGAAATTAGATCCACTGACATCCCTTTTAAAAGCTAGTGCACAATGGGAAAAGAGAATACATAAATCGTTAAATTCCATGTGTACAGATCTTGAGACCTCGTTAGCAAAAATCAGATCTCAAAGTGAACAAGAAGAGCTATCTGACAAATGGAACGAACTTAGTACTTACACTTTAGGTAACTACAAAACTGATTTGTCGTTTGTTTCACGAATACGACCACCTCAAGTCACTAAAAGTCGACGATTTATTTCAGACCTTTCGAAATACAGACCTGTTTATGCACCAAAAGACTTTTTGGAAGTACTTATAACTTTATCCGGCTATGTTCCTTTCACTAGAGAGTAAGTGTTTACGTCTTAACAATGTATTGTTCTATCTACTTAATGCAAGATTGGATGAATCAGTAACCACGATTTACTTTCAGAGACGAACCAAAGTGGGAGTTTGCACATTTACCGATTCAAGTGAAAACCTTAGATCAGCTTGTAAGTAATTATGTATAATTAAATACAGAATTTTGATCTATCAACTAATATTATGGCGTTCCACAGGGCTCCGTCTTAGGGCCTATTCGATTATGGACATACAATTTTTGACAAGTCTGCCTAATTTTTTCAGCGAAAAGTTTTCCCAGAATGGGCACACGGTGAACCTCTTTTGGGTGTTAATCCAAATATGCCGAGTTCAGTACCAGGATTCGCGACGCTCGAAGCAGAGCGCATAAGTTTGGGAGAACGGGTAGCGGCTCTCGGTTATGCGCCAGTTGTACAGGAATACTTAAAGAAGGGAAGTCCGCAATGTCTTCGAGCGAAGCTGTGGTCGCAAGTCTTAGGTTCCGAAGTAAAAAGCCAAGTAAGTGATACAAAACCTACTTAAAAATGACATGGAATTCTTATAGGTTCGTATTTTAAAGCATTTTTTTTACTGCAGCAAACGGCATACTTCGGTCAGCTGAAGAAGAATGTTCTGGAAGTGGATTTGATGATAGACAAATTAATATTCAAAGATGTACAATTAACGGCTTCGAACGATGATCAGTATTTTGTATTTGAAGATTTATTGTATCAGGTAGGTAAAGAAGCATGAATGTGATTAAGGTGGTTTTTTGCAGAAAATCTTAAAAAATACAATTGATATTGTTCTAATTACAGGTGATGTTATGTTTTTCTCGCGACGTCGATGTAATGCAACAATTGAAAGGTAGTATTGGCAATCCGCCAACGGTAACAATAAAAGGAAAACAGACTTCAGCGGAAAGTGTGACCGTGTTTCCTCCGAGCGGAATCATACCTTTCCATGGTTTCACTATGTATGGTAAGAATGTTTATAAAACTTTATCTAGAGAAAAAAAACAAATATGATGCCCGGGTGGTTTATGTATTTATAAGCCAGTCTATCAGTAAAAGTATCTGTTTTGATGTTTTCTCAATAGTCAATTGGCTTGACGTGAAATCACTATGACGTATTTACTAAATAATTAATTATATGATTTATTATTTCTAATTAACAATACATAAAAGGAAAATACGCGTCTATGTTGCTCAATAGGTCGTCACAAACAATGACTCAAATAAAAGCATTAAGTAAAATAAGTTTGTTTACAATTGTTATTTTTTCTTGGAATTATTGGATAAATACAGTTTAATTAAATACCCAGTTTAGTACTTAATTAAATGAAATCATTTATTTTTTAGAAAAGTAAGTAGTTTTACCATAGAGTAAATATGAATAATGGTTTTAACTCATGAAATTACGACTTCTATATTAATTAATCAATTACGGGATAAGAAATTACGAAAATTAGGAATTACATTTACCTATACGAAGAAGCATACAAGAGACAGTCAGAGATAACTTGACTAAAATCAATACTATTGTTTCAGCAACTCCTTTCTGCTATTTGTACGACGACCCTGTCCAGTTGTACTACACGTTTCGAGCATTCTATGTGCGATACTGGCATCGGTTGCACTACATATCGACGCATTCACAGGTAATAAGAAAAATATGTCCATAGGAAGATATAAGATATCTCTTCAATAATACAATTGATTGGACTGCACCTAGCGCGGTGTTCAGATCCATGTCAAATGGGTCCACACAACAAGTGTGGAGCTACTTTAAAAAATTCACAAAGCTTTTTAAACAATCGATGTTTGGAATAAATTTATTTTAACTAAGTGTTGTCGCGAGCATTCATTCGCGTAGAATATGAATTTTAGAAAATAACTTTTTTTATTCCGTTGTGTATCAGTTACCTGTCAATAAAAGTCTTGCAAAATCGGTCCAGCCATTCCAGAGATTAACCAGTACAAACTGACAGACAGACAGATTAAAATTGTAAAAAATGTTACTTTAGTATGTGTATCGTATGTATTATATTCATATGTATTGTATTAAAATGCGGTTATTTTAATATTACAAACAGACACTCCAGTTTTATTTATCTGTACCTAAACATTAGGAATTCATAGGAATTCACTCATATTTTTTTATAAACAATCGTGGTTTAATGTTTGTTTTTAACGACGTGAAATTGTAATTTATTAAACCTCTCTGTTAATTATTATTTTCCACACTATCTGCGATACTCGTTGACCCACAATTTTCCTGTTACTTTCAGTTATAATGCAATTGAATTATGTTTTCAAAGAATAATAAATAAATGATATCAGTGGCAGTACCTATAGCATGTATGCGGTAACTCGTAACTTCAGTTGGATTTATAGATTTTTACAATTTTATTATTTAAATATTATTATTATCAGACACAAGACGTCCTCTAGACTAGAGATCTGGCCCAATCACTTAATTTCCCTTTTTATAAAGACGGTAATTCGTATTACGTCGCATATTTATGTTATTGAATGGAAGCATGGCATTGATAACGAACGGGAACTTAAAGCTGAAAAGTTGGCAACGTACTTGTAACTCTTCAGGTGTCTATGGACGGCGCTGATAAATCATAAGCGCCAAAATAAATCAAGTTTTTTTTTATTTTCCAGGGTATTGTATCATTGTGTCTACTTTACGAGAGGCTCCTAGAGGCGAACGAACCTTTGCTATGGATACATTTTAGAAATATCAACATCAATCCGTAAGTTTATTTTATACATAGTTTTAAGTTCAATTAATGATGAGGAAAATTAGTTTTTATTTTATACAAATGAGGTCGAGTGGATCCAAAGCGCGACTAAGCAAAGAATCTCTGGAGAACGGTGATCGGCCCGGACTTTAGAAGATTCAAAGACATGATATTAATATTATTATTTGATATAAGTATGCACATCTCTCCATTACAGAATAAGAGTGGTGTTCAAATGGTTGATGCGCGCATTCAGTGGACATCTACCACCGGATCAACTACTACTGCTCTGGGATGCCATACTAGGATACGATTGTTTAGAAATCCTACCATTATTAGCGTTGGCAATACTTAGTTTTAGAAAGGAGAATATATTTCAAGTGAATACTTTGCAGAATGTTGATGCTGTGTTAGCTGATTTATCTACAATTTCTGTCATACCGTTGTTGCAATTAGCATTAATGAAGCCCTGATGTAAAGTCTTGCGCATATGTTATAGTACCTGTCATTGTCAAACTTGGATACTTGCTATTTGAGACTACAAGCAATATGGTACTTAAGTACCCTGTTATAAGATCTTTATTAGAATAATGTTTTTATGTTTAATATGCGCAAATGTTGTGTTAAAAATGTTGGTGTCATTTGGCTGCAAATGTCAAATAGTTAAAGAAACAGTAATCTTTTTCTAATTCCCACTGTGTGGACGCGATAACGGTAATATTAGGTTGGATTAGGCATAACAATCCATGGCATTTGAGGCAAATTTTTAAGTGTGAAATGTATAAAAAAATATTCTGTGTTAAAATTAGTTTGATATTTTGATTTGTGATCGTAACTTCGTGATACATATGCGCAGGTCTCCGTTATTGTTAAACTGATTGTTTTATAGTCTTTTATATTAGTCGTTTTTTTTTTCTAATTTTGTAGACTGAGACATTTTTAAATTAAAAAAAGAAAGTACAAAGTGTTACCTCAGTAAATTTATTTTTTCTTACACACAACACACCAGTTGCCCTCTTCGTAGAAACTATCTTCGATTAAGAAATTGACCTCTTTACATAGTTCATCTAATTCACCTTCTTCGAAAACGTGATAGTATCTCAGTAAAGTGTTTTCTGGGTTGTTTGACAGTTTATTTTCTGATACTTTTCTTAGTTTCCAAGGTACTAATAGGTCTTGGTGTTTGAACTGTGTTCGGTTTTCGTGTACAGGGAGGTTAACTCCCCCGACCGTGATCTGAGTCTCTGCTTGAGTCTCATTAACCTGGTCTTGTTTACTTTTAAGAAGGTAATTTGATTTAGTTTGATCCTTGGCCCATACTGTGATGAGAGCCCGCCCACCTTTGCGTAGTAAACGATGTATAGTGGATATCGCTTGTAGCCTTCTTGCCTGTTGACAAGATTTTATGAATGAGTTGTTTTATTCTATGCAGTTTGCTTACAGTATAATATTTAATGGAGGTCTAGGTTTGACTTCTGAGCAGAGTAAACTATTATGAGTTCTCCATTTTCAAATTTTCAATAGCAGTACAGCCTTGTCCATAAAATACATACTAACAGAAACTTAACACGGACATGAATTGTATTGAATTAAAGTCATTGTCCAAAGAGGCCTTAAATTAAAATGAAATCAACTCGCCTTGCTACTAAAATGGTGTATAACAGCGATACATATGACAATATCTGCGGTGTTGTCTCTTAACTGCGCCTGTAGTAGATCCAGACGTACGCAGTCCGCTGCATTTATACCTTGGATGTGCTCCTTACACTCTGATAATAAGCCAGAACTACGTTCACCTGCTATCTGTAACAGATTTATATTACTTGTTTACAGTAAACTGAGGAATACAGATGCCTTTGAGATTTACCTAGATTTTTTATATAAAATAGGGTGGCAAACCAGAAAACGGTCAACTGATGGTAAGCAATTGGCCCCGCAAGTAAGTCCAGAGGTGTAACGAGTGTGTTACTGGCTTTTGGTAGGTGGGAAGGCGGTATATAACCTTATCTACATACTACATAATTGACTTATTTATTTCAAAACATGATAGGTTTTTAAAATACTTTAATATTGTGTAGTATAGCCCTAATTAAAGGCTGCCACGACATGCATTACAGGATATTACAACAAAATGTTTACTTATCGCAAAAACAAGGAATCTTAATAATTATATTGTTAAATTTTAATACAAGTGAAAGATATTATATGGAGTTTGACTCTGTGAGAATGTCCTACACAAAATAGTTTTCACTTGATGAAAAACACGCAAGCGTTGTTTTACTCCGGGTTTACGCGACATCGTGCTATCGCACTGGTCGAGCCGGTTTAATTGTGCCGAAAGATGGCTCTCCCACTCTATGTTCATGTATGTAATGAAACTATTCCTCTACTCCCAATAAAGAAGACAATCTCACCAACTAACCTGCACTATATCATTCCTTCTCAGTATATTCTTCCCGTTCCCACATCCTAAGTCCATAACAACACTGCCAGGTGGCACTCCTTGCATGAACTCCACCACCTTAGGCCAAGGTTTGTGTCTCGTTGTACTAAAGTGGCCTGCTATTTGTTCATATACCTGGAAAATGGAATTGTGAATGTTAGAAGTTTGTTCTTTTTTGTTGCATGAAATATTAGGTACTATGAAACATACTAAATTGATTAAAATACATATAGTTTGATTATTAACCCTTTGAGTACCGTCATTATTGACACAATTATAGAACAATAGGTTGCGGTCACCGATGTCCTTGCGGTGTTTGACAGTTTAAAGCGGGAATATGGGGGTTGCCTGGAATTATCCGGGAATTTTGAAAAGAAATATTGCACAAAACTGTTTTGGCCGCCATTTGTCCAAGATGGCGGCGCGAGCGGCGCACGTACGAGGATGCAAAATAGACATCGGAGAGAGCACATCAAGATCTACAAAATTGCCAATTTTCAAAATTCCAGGAACACATTCCAGGTAGCACTATCAAATGACTGAGCTAACAACTAACTGTTCGAAGATTGTTGGCTGCGCGACTTAACGATTATACACTCCGGTCGTAGCTTGAGAGTAATCGAGCGTCCTCGAACAGTTTAAGTTCGTACTATTTCAAGTTTGTTTTGAAATAGATTTAAGTATGTACAATTGTACACATCAAATTATTTACTAAAATACTACATACCTGATGAACATGCAACTCTTCCAAATTTGAGGCTACTTCATTCTCTAAGTTATCAGCACAGACTTTCTCCACACTGTCGCAGAGTGTCTTGTATTCACACTCACAAGGACCACTCCTAGTCCAACGGAATGTAAGAGAAATACGTGTCCCTCTTGTTACAGTGTCATTTGTTATCACTTTGATATTCCGAGAGTTTTCTACGCGATTCTCGATGACTGGATCCCAAGTGCGAGGTTGAATGCCGTGCTGCCAGTCGTATCTGTGAAGTACAAAATAGCTTGTTAATTTTGAGATAAATTCTTGTTGGTTGAATAGGTCGTAATTGTACGACACGGGCGAGGGGTCTCGGTTCGGACAAAGTCAGTTTATCGATTTAATTCAGGAGGATCTAGAAGTGTTCGGCAATAGACATACTCATTGTTTCATTGGATTCAAAACATATGTAGCTGGAAACATTTTTGTGCAACTCCATCCACCTTTTCAGAAATATTAATTTGCTTAATACAGTATGACGTTATTTTATATAGAAACAGTGAAAATCAACTAATAGTAATCAATCAACATAACACGACATAAAATCAGGCCTTTTATCCCTGAAGGGGTAGGCAGAGGTGCACCCAGAAGTAACACCCACTTTTCACTATTTATGTTATGAGCTCCATGTAATGGGGGGTGAGCTTATTGTTTTATACCGGGCACAATCCAGACTCTGTGCTACTACTTAAAAAACCCAGTAATACTTTGCCCGACCTGGGAATCAAACCCGAGACCCCTTGCTCGGCAGTCGCAGTTGCAACCACTCGGCCAACGAGGCAGTCAATCAAATAGGTAGGTATTATAAAACAGTAAAGTTAAATGAAATTAGACCAAGTTATGTACCTAATGATGTATCAATGAAATAAGTGATGAAATGACAAATAACAATGAATATCCTCACAACACTATTTATTTGTATTATGAGAATAATGAAACTATGCTACAATCTAAATCACCTGGCCTCATCTTGCATAACAAGTAGAGATCTTGCCTGTACTAGGGTTGGTACATATTGGCCGCTGTGGTGTTTCCAGTCCATTACTATATCAGAGCCAAGTGACAGTGACAGTATGGTACCTCCAAATGGACTGTGCTTGTCCACATGTGATGGGATCCCTGGAAATAATAAAGAGCACTGATTATTTCTGAGGCTTGTGACAGGATACATACATAATACATAACATCACGCCTTTTTATCCCTGAAGGGGTAGGCAGAGGTGCACATTGTAACACCCACTTTTCACTATTTATGTTACAAGTCCCATGTAATAGGGGGTGAGCCTATTGCCATATACCGGGCACATTTCCAGACTCTACTCTACTACTACTGAGATTGGAATATCAGGATACATTTTGGAACAATCCTCAACCATGGTAAGTCACGTCATTATCATAATATATGTATAATGTACCTTTTTGGACCAAGCATAAAATATTATCAATGCTGGTGCTAGTTAAAACGATAATAAAAAAAATCAACTACTTCTTTACAACTATTTTGTTAACTGTGACCATAAATATGCTAGACAATTAGACATAAACAACAACAAACCCATAACATTAAATAAATAATAATGAAATGATACCTTGCCCTGGAGAATACTTGTTCACAGTCAGCTGATCTGGTACACCAACATTAAAACCTTTTTCTTTCAACCTCTTCCATAAAATATCACACTCTACAGGAATTTTCTCTATCAATGGGCTATTTAGATCCACATCATTGCTGCCATATCTAAATTCATAGCCAAAATGCTTTACCAGTCTGTTTTTCAAATTATTGCATTCTGGATTCCAGTCAAAAAGTTTTATGAATTCTTTTTCTTCTTCTTGTGTTATGAAGTCATTAAGTAGTAATAGGCCTTTGGGATTTTCATGTGGGCATATTATTTCTGTGTTGGGAACTAAAAATAAAAAGCATAATACACTTACTTACTTAATACATGCTTGGTTCTTAGTCTAATTTAAGATAATAATATGGTTTATCTACATCAATAAATTGAGACGTATCTATTATATATTGGAAAAAAATTAAGGTTCTTTACTTTGTAATCAAATATTTCCAATGTTTACCTGTTTCAACAAAGTTCATATATAGTGGTGTTCCCTTATTATCAGCCTTTGCTGTTCCATTGAAACTATTATAAAATAACAAAGCATCCTCCTTCGTGTTAAACACTAGAAAGGAATGGCTTTCTCCTTTTTCAGCAATATATTTAGGCAAAGTCATACTTAAACCATGTTCCATAATTAGACTAAATATAGCTACTTTCTCTAGCCCTGTTGCTTGCCCGCCGTTGCATAGCACTATATTCTGGAAATTAATCAGTCATTTCATTATTTACAGCCGATATATTGCCGTATTAAACACAATAAACAGGTGTCCTACCGGCCCAGGTACTTCAGTGCATGTTATTCCTTTAGAACTCTTTAATCGAGCTGCGAATCTTTTTCTTTTCCGTTCAGTTTTCTTTTCTTCCTCCATAATTTATGCTAAATATAACAATTAAGTATATAAGTTATAACAAAATTAAAAATATGTGCGATTATTTACAATTTACAGTAACCACATGCTTTTGACAGTACGCAGTGACAGTGTCACCACACTCACACATGTTTCATTTCATGTTGACGTTGGTTGACGTAATGAGACTTTCGTTCTGAAATCAAAACTTTATTACAACAAAACCGCAGTATGTGATTATACCGTTATTACTAATCCATTTTGTTGTTTTTAATTCGACATTACAATTGATTAACAAAACTAATTTTGTGTTGCATTTAAAATGTTGGCAAAGTCAGAAAGTTAAATTTTAAGTGTCACACGTCACGTCAAAAAATGTTTTTGTTCTTCTTTTGTATTGTCAAAGTGTGTCAAAGTCAATTATTTTTGTCATAAAAGTGGTTTGGGTTGAATCTAAAAGGATTCATGCTCATTTGTGCTCATTTTAGGAGCGGTATTTGAAAACTGTAAGCTGTTAAAACCTTAAACTTCTTCAACTTTACGTTAGCAATATGGGAATCCAAAAAAAGGTAATAGTATTTATTATAGTTGTAAATGAACATGGAATAATAAAGAATTCCGCTTATCGTTGCTTTAACCTTTTCAATGTATTGTTGCAGGAGATCCGTAAAAAGAACAAAAAACACGTAATTTGTATGGCTTCCGACTTCTTTTATCCTAACACAGGCGGAGTAGAGGAGCATATTTATAATTTATCACAATGTCTAATCAAAAGAGGTCATAAAGTAGTCATAATTACTCATTCTTACGGAAAACGAGTTGGAATAAGATATTTAACTTGCGGACTGAAAGTATATTATTTGCCTATAAAAGTATTTTATGCTCAGTGTGTTCTGCCAACTATGATATGCAATATAGCACTGATAAGATATATATTGATAAGAGAGAGAGTAGAGATTGTACATGGACATTCTGCATTCAGTGTATTGTGTCATGAAGTGTCAATTATAGGCAAACTAATGGGTTTGAAAACAGTGTTCACTGATCACAGTCTATTCGGATTTGCTGATACTTCAGCTGTTTTAACAAACAAGTACCTTCAGATGTGTTTATGTGAATGTGATCATTGTATCTGCGTGTCACACACTGGCAAAGAAAATACTGTGCTCAGAGCAAAAGTAAAAGCATACAAGGTTTCTGTGATACCTAATGCTGTTGATGCCTACAGCTTTACTCCAGACCCAAGCAAAAGAGATCCTAATGTGATAACAATAGTGATTGTATCCCGCCTTGTATACAGAAAAGGTGTTGATTTAATGGCTGCTGTAATAGCTGATATGTGCCCTAGATACCCAAGAATAAGATTCATAGTTGGAGGAGATGGTCCTAAAATGTGGCTTCTACAAGAAGTGAGAGAACAGAAAGGTTTCCAACACTGTGTGACCCTTTTAGGAAGTCTCAAACATTCTGAAGTAAGAGATGTGCTTGTGAAAGGGGATATATTTTTGAATACATCTCTTACTGAAGCCTACTGCATGGCAATAGTGGAAGCAGCATCTTGTGGGTTAAAAGTAGTCTCAACTAAAGTAGGTGGTATACCTGAAGTGTTGCCAGACAGCATGATTTACCTGACAGAACCAAATGTTGGCAGTCTTGTGGAAGGAATTGAAAAGGCCATGGAAGACATAGACAAAGGCAATATATTATGTCCCTTTGAATGCAATATGAAGGTAAGGAAAATGTACAATTGGATGGATGTAACAAAGAGGACAGAAATAGTATACAACAATATATCTTTGAATAAAAATAATCCTTTAGGTGTACAATTACGAAACTACCTCACATGTGGTGTCTGGCCATTTTTGTTAGTTATAAGTCTTATGTATTTATTGTTAAAGTTGACAGAGAAAATATACAAAAGGAAACATATAGATATAGCAAGGGATTATAAGTTATAGTGACAAAAATAAGCCTGTGTGCTAAGTTGGGAATCTATTAGTTATTAAGACGAAAATTGTATCCCAGTGTAAGGTTGTATAACACACTGTTGCCTTGATTATAAATAAGGAGTCACTAATATTGTTATTATTAATTTGTATAAAGTTTAATAAGTAGGTAAATGTACCAAAGAAATGAACAATTATTTATTTTGGAATGATATTTATTAACATAATAATGAAAAAAAAAACATTGGCTTAACTAGTCTCTAATAATAGTTCGCCATTATGATTTATACAATATACTATAAAATGAATAAATAACTCAGTTATTGTTATTATTATTACATTCCAGTATTATTATTCAACATCATTGGAATAACTTTATATTAATGTTTTCCTAATTTATTATAATTAATAAGTGTGATTTTTATATACGAGACTGATGATTAGGTACAATTTTTTGTAATAATGTAACTCGTACATCTTCACTGGAAATTCAAGCTCTGTGAACAAAAGACATAAACATCGATTACATTGATTTTTTGATAATATGATTTTTTTAATTTTGATGACCATCTCTTATTAACCTACTCATTATTTTTATAGAACAGGGAAATAACCAATTTTTTTTTTACTAAGAACTGTCTGAATTTGCAATTTTTAAATGTGCAACACCAACCTACCTACCAAATATACTACATAATAACTAAATGACACTTACACTTTAGTAGTGCGTGGTGGGTGCTTAGGTCTTACTCCAGATTGTTTCAACTGCAGTACGATGGACCTGAGGCGCGCCACGTCGCGGCCGCGTCTCGGTCCGAAGTCGCATAGCTCAGCTACGCGCTCCCATTCGTTACCATCTTCCACGGTACCCTCAGAGCCGCGTGCTAAAGCTTTCTCGGCATTCCTATTTATCAAAAACACGTTTAATATAAAAATCGACAATGTGTCTTGTTTCCCACCTGTGAAAGGGTTAAATAATGGTATTATGCAATTTGATTTACAGTTAAAACAATAATGATTATGTTATCAAAAATGTACAAAATGTGTATAAATACTTTTGAGAGTGATAAACGATCCTTTTAACTTGTTATATAAACAAATAACAACACTTAACCTTCTTTTAGTACCAACACCTATCCTTGACATTTGGACAATATGAAATGCTAAACAGATTACAAATCAATAACGAAAAATGAATAAATTTTACACACTTTCAACCTGAAACCTCCACCAAACCAATTTAGTTCCTGTTTTAGTTTATAATTTCAATTTCTGATATACTTACTTAGCCGATTCCCTGATAGCATTGAAAAGAAAAGAGTTTTCATTTAGTTATACAGTATTGAAAATAAGTATAGGTTGCACAAGTACATAATTAATCAGTATTATGTTCAAGTAATTTATATCAATATGGAGTTGCCTATAAAAGCATATTTTGCTAATTAGTTTATGCTGTTAGTTAAAGAGCACATTTAAACTATCAGTTTTGATACATATTTTATCAAAGCAACTAAAGATTTTGTGATTTACCTACTGCAGTATTATTGTTTAAAATAATATCACAAGCTTTAAAAGTTCCCTTTGCTTACCTTAGAAGCAACTAACCATAAACTACATATAGCAATGCTCATATTTTGCAGAGCAAAGTAACAAGCTAAGCAATTGACTAAGGGGAGGAAAATTATGTTACATAATAAATTCAGACCAATCCGGATTTACATTTTACCATGCCATACTCAATCCTGCTCTTCTAGCCCCACAAAAGCTAAGTAAATTACTGACACTGACATAATCTAGTACAAATCCAATTAGAAAATATAATTTTATACCTATTAGCTGCCTTTGTTTTAGCAATTGTCTCCTCATGTGTCTTGTACCAGTCCTCCAACTCCTTTTTGGCTATTTTCAGCATTTCCTCTTTTTTCTTTTCTTCTTCAGCATCTGTAATCAGATAATTGTGGAAATTTTGTTAAAATATACACCGCTTTGTGACCAGGGTGGGTGGGTGTTGACCTATTTTTGCAAGAGGGGTGGTTACATAATCCCATCCCCTTTTGTTATTTCAATATAAATGTTTTTACTGCAAAGATATCTTGTCTAGGATCATGTACAAATAATCTTCATAGGGCACAATATTGGACTGAACAAGACAGGACTTATTGTTTTGTAACATTATTATAAGAAAGTAAGAAAAGCCAGTTTTAACATTCTTCAAAAGTACCATATTTTAAGATTAATATATAATAATAATTTGTGATATAAGAGAAAACTTTTAAAGCAATATGGTACAATGATAAAATTACTAGATTACATCAGTTCATAAGCTTTATTATACCTTTCTCTTCCAATCTCTGTTTCTGTTCCTCTCGCCAGGCACGGATCTTCTCAGGTTCTTCTCTTTCCTGTTTGAATACTGATGTCTGGATGGGCTCTTCATCTAAAAGGCCATTTGAATCGAAGGCTGAGGCACTTGGCACTTCTGAAGAAATAAATTGCATTTAATACTTAGTGTGGGTTCCAATAAGACAATTTATGTCTATTAGATTATGAATTTGTGAATATTGAATAATGGATTTAGATATTTATGTTTTTCAGTGCTAATGGTTATTGAATGCTAGATAAGGTAAGTAATAGTCATCAGTTTGTAGTTTATCATTGTTAAAAATATTGATTTTCGTAGTTTCGATGTAACTAAAGACTTTTGTCGGTGTAATGCACTTAAAGGGACAATTAAGTGTGTAACTTACCCACGAAGTCATCTAAGCCGTTTGAGGAGGATACAATAGGGGGCGGAGCGCTGGTTTCCAACTCATCTTCAAGTCCTGCTAGCTGGTTCTGTTCACGAGCGAGGAACTCCGCTGCTGGGTCTACTTCAGGTTGAACGAAGTTGTCTCCGAAATCATCCATTATTCAAAGATTTACAGTACACTAAATAAAATAACAAATCAAGGAAGGAAAGTTCCTGTTAATTAAGAAGCACAGACAAGACAAAGCAAAGAGTGAAGTGGAATGCAAACTTATTGACACGATGACAACTCATTCCGATTATTGTACAAGATTTTGATATTTATTGCAATGCAATAAGGTATAAATTTGAATGCTTCCAAATTGACGTATCCGTCAGGCTGATTCATGCGTTTGAGATCTGGCAACATTAATAAAAACGAAAAAATTGTCTATCAGTCATTGACATTTTTGGTACTGTCATTGTCAAAATTATTTGAAATTGTCAATTCAATTGTCAAAAGTCGAAAACATAACCTCGCTTTCGACATCCAATTCAGATTTTTACTAATTTACTATATTAAAAACAAAAACATTACTTAAAATGAGTCTGTGTTTAAGATCTAAGTATTTACGGCCAAACTTAATAAGTTCTTTATTCCGTTATTCGACATCAGTAGAAGCAGTTGAACAGAATGACCAAGTTTTAGTGGAAGATGAAGATGCAATGGCGAGGGAAGCCGAGATAGAACGAAAAAGGAATGTATCTAGGTTATCAGAGGCACATTGGAATCTTGTAAATGGACGGAGACCTTATGTAGAGCCGAAGAATTGGTCCCATTTGACGGTTAAATATAATAGGAAGATGTATGGAAAATACGGCAGCGCAAGTGGTGTTAACCCAAGTAAATATTGGTTTAATATTCTCCCATAATTTCGAGCTGTACGGTATGGTTTATTACGTACACGAAAAGCTGCTGCCTACTTGATGTCTGGGGTTCCAGGCTCTTGAAGGCATTGAAGAAAATTCAAACCTTTTTTGTCAAACTATTATATTACACAATTATTTACAAACTAACATTTTAATCTTACCTATTCCAGGTCTTTGTTTTCCAACTCAAAAAGAAATACAAGAAAAAATGGAGTATGAAGCAGTAGCCTACCCATTTACTATAAAACAGATGATGGAAACTGCAGCAAAGAACAGAAAGGAACAGCAAGAGAAGATTCTGCAGAGAGACAGGGATATTGCTGCCAAGTATGCAAAACTGGACCAGTGGAAGAAGGAACTTCTTGATAAGATTGCTAAGAAAACTGCTGAAGCTAATGCAGCTAAGGTATGTTGGGATTTAGATCAGATCATGTAACCAATTAGAGATATTTAGTTACATTTTATTATATAGGGTAATATAAAATTATGACCAATTACAATGCAGCGTAGAGTACAAGCAATGTAATGAAAAATAAAAAACTATTTGTAAAAAAAAATTCTCAAAGTTAATATTTAATATTTTGAACTTAGTTTTTACCTACAGCATTGCCCCTATATTGCTGTTTTATTCCATGGGAGCATTTCATTTTGATAAAAATATCACCTAATTCAGCCCATACCCTGCCTGTATTACCCAAATTTCATCAAAATCCGTTTAGTAAATTCAGAGTGATTATAATATGAGTGTGATTATGAAAATTATAATTCAGTTTCTTAGAAATCACCAGTTTGATAACTTTGTTATTGTTTAATTAAATGCTTCTTTCTTTTTTCAGGAAAAGAAAGAGAGATTGGTAGAAGAAGTAAGAAGACATTTTGGTTTCAAATTGGACCCTCGTGATGAGAGGTTCCAGGAGATGCTGGCTAAGCGAGAGAAAGAACAGAAGAAACTTGAGAAGCAGGCCAGAAAAGAAGCTAAAGAGAAGGTCATGCTGGCCAAACTGCAGCAGAAGAATGTAGAGATAAGTGATACCAAGAAAAAGTAACTTATTTTAACTGTAGATTAATTATTTGTTAGAGTAATAAACTGTTATTGTAATATATTAAATCATTTTCATTATTTCATGGCCTGAAATAAATAGAAATGAATTTTTCAAGAAATCTGATGAAAATTGAGTTAACTTCTTATAGGCATGTTTATTTCATCTGTTAAACATCACGCCTTTTATCCTCGAAGGGGTAGGCAGAGGTACACATTATGCCACTATACAATGTCACACCCACTTTTCACTACTTATGTTATGAGTCCCATGTATATTCCTACTACTGAGATTTTTTTTTAAATCCAGTACTACTTTGCCCGACCCGGGATTCGAACCCGAGAACCCTTGCCCAGTCGAACTTGTCGACTCAACACTCGACACACAAACGCAAAAATTTCCTTATGCTCCAAATAAGGTTAAGGCTATTTTCAGATGTAAATAAAGAACCAGAAATATTGCCATTTAGTTTAGTACGTAGGTATGGACTGTATAGGAATAAAATAATAGATTATAACAAACAATTTTTTAATCGTACATAAAACATGATATTCATAAACTCATAAATAAACATAAAAAACGTCACGAGCTGTCCTCGGACGAGGACGAATAGAGTGCCTCCCTCGGGTTGATGACGGTCGCCTGATGTACGGAGCGTTGTGTTATCTGTGGCGAACAAATCAGCGTATCCGAATCGCTTGCCACGCTACTACAGGGGCTACTCTGCCCGTATATGTGCTGGGGACAAAATCAACTTTAATGGCATGCAAATACGAATGTTAAAAGATATATTGTGAAGGCTTTTGTTGAGCCTAGCTGTAGGCTAATTCAATAGGCCCTAATAAACTTGACTTCTAATGACGTGACGAATAATAGTCAAAAAGGTATAGTAGTTAGTTCTTATTCTTTATACTATAAAGTATAAAATAAACTGCTGCAAACTAAAGTTTATAGTATTTATTGCAGCAATTTTTTCGTGCATTTTTGAGGAGTAAGTTCTTTTTACTTACTTTTTTATTAGGCTTCGTTTGCACCGAAATCATGTCCTCCAATGTGTTTGTTTCCTCGCAGTGCGCGTCTCTTGTGTCGCCTATTTGTCTTTCAATCATTTCTGGTTTCTGCAAATGAGACCCAGAAAAAGTAATAAAATCTTTTGACTTGTCGCATCGTTCGTACTAGTACTTCATCGTTTCCCTTTCAAAGGTATGTATGGTAACCTTGACAATATACTTATCTCATAAAAATATTTGGTAATCTTCGAGGGACATAACAGAAAGAAGCACCATAGTTTTCTACTTAAGACATAATATGTATAAAGTTCAAAGGACCATTTATGAGGTGATGAGGTGGTTTAAAACCTTTCCTAGCTAAAATTATTTAAGCGAATCCTGATTTACACAAAATAGCAAATATACGAACCATTTCAACGGCGTCCCTTCGCTGCGAGTCTCCCAATAGATGCGCGGACTTTGTCATCTTGTTGACCTTCATTTTGTCGTTGACTATCTTCTGGTGCGAGCTTTGCGCTCTCTTTGGAATTATGTTTACGTGTCTATCGCTATACTGTGCCTCTTCCACTTCCGTGATTTCCTCTGTTGGATGTTCCTCTGGTGTATTCTGTTTCGACGTTTCGTGAAGACATTGTCTGCAAAATGGTTCGTAGAAATAAAATAATACTACTAAAGTGTAGCACAGCGTAAAAAGCAATAGTAAAAACCCCACTCATATAATACATACGTAAATGAGTGGGGTGACACCAGAACTAACCCGTTAGGCACTAACCCGTAGCACTGATTATTCTTTATGAACGCGTATATATCCTTGAATGCCTGCTGTATGTAGGAGAGTGTCGTCTGATCTATTGGCACTGAACTAGACGAGCCTGAGCTGCTTGATAAGTCTCCTGATCTCGCACTGGCTTCGAATGAATGTTCTGAACCTGGAAAATTGGAAAATTGACTGAAAGTTCATTGTGCATGACCATCATATCAATGTAATTCTTTGAAAGGATACATTAAATGCAGTGATAATTTAATCTTCACGGTACCATGACCTTCAGAAAGCGAAATACGATACAATATCCTCTTTGTCTTCATAATAACTATCGTGAGACATACTAAATTAATCAAAAATTACAAGTTCCTCACTATACTGTGAAAAGCTCTACAAGTTTCGAGTCACAGAGGGACTCTTCCTCATGAGCAGCGTGCGCGGTCGTGGCGACGTCGCGCAGCCTACTAGAGCTTTTCTCAGTAACTCGTAATTTTTTATTGAAAATCCCCTTGGTAAAGAACCTTAATCTGTTTCGAGTGGAAAATATAAAAATATTCATTCTCTGCCACTCTTTTTTTTTGCAGGGGCGAAAATCATCGAATGACTTCTCCTGCCTTCAGTGTCAGACTCTTAATGACTAAAAACCACCCCGTTCCTACTCCTGCATTTAGAGTCGGAGCCCCGGTAACCCGTTAAGTTCTCCGCGGCTCCGTATCGGAATCAGCCCTATTAGGCCCCATCTGTGATGGTCTGATGGTTCTTTGATTACAACAGTTACCTGACGACGCCGCACAGTTGGCCCACAGTCGTATTTGCTGCTGTTTGAGCTGCTTCATTTGGTCTACTAATTGTAAATTCAGCTCTTCAAGCTGCTGCCGGTGTGAAATTTCTTCTTGTAGCTGCTCTTCTAATACTTCTGCATAATCTCTACAAATTAAAAGAACATGTAATTCATCTTCGTCATAAGTCCTTGATATATTATTATAGACTATCTGTCGCCCGCGACTTCATCCGCGTAGACTATGAATTTTAGGACATAACTTTATTTTTGTTTCAATATTCCAAAATAAAAGTAATTTATAAATCAGCTAACTGGCAATAAAAGTCCTGTCACCATCGGTCCAGCCATTCCAGAGATTAGTTGGAACAAACAATCGGACAAAAATTGTAAAAAAAATATTTTAGTATGTTTATATTCATATACATGTAGTAAAAATCGGTTATTTTAATGTTACAAACATATAGATAATATACAGATAGATAAAATTGGATGACTAGCTTGCACCAGCGATTTCGTACGCACAAAATGGTACTTTATTCCTGTTTTTATCGTTCTCGTGAATATTTGGTTAATCCTTCCAGTGCCTCCCTAAACTCCCCAGGGAACAGATACGCCAAGTTGAAGTTTAGCAGTATCTTTAGCTGTGCTCTGTCTGTCAGTCAGACAGTAACTGAAGAGTTTCTACATATTGTTTAATTAATTCAACCGTAAGGACACTTGTACGCACGTACTTGTCTTTTTTCGTTAAGTTTGTCTTCGTTGCATACTTAACGTTTGTAGATCTCGCGTTCGATCCCGGCGCTCGATCTCGGGATACTCCATTTCTGTAAGTACATGAATAGGTAGTAAAAATATCCTCTTCAACCCGTTTCCATCCACTACTTAGCTCAATCTACAGCTCTTCGCATCCGAATGCTAATTTATGAATAAGTGTGTAATTGTAACGATTTTTAACTTACTGAAAAATTTTAAACAACTCACTTGGATGTCACGGATTTCATGAACTTTTCACTAGAAGATCCACTGCTAGCAAGCCATGAAAACTGTAAAAAATGAACTAATATCACTGCCAAGATTCGGCCTAGCATAAAGGGGTAGATAACATCAAGAAGAGATGTTATTTTTTAGGTCGTACCTTCCCTTCCATCCCCCTTTCGTTATCCCTAAGCACCGAGCGTACTTTGGACAGCGATTCACTGGTCACGTCTGGATTGTTCCTTATATCTAACACTACTAGAGTCTTGTTTGACGTCATCATCTGTTGGATTGCGGCCGACGTATTCTCCGATATACCGCAGTTTTGAACGTCCAATGCTGCAACATTAATTAGGAAGATATACCTAGTGATTAAAAATAGCACATGACTATCAACCGAAAGACGTCTAGTGGTACATAGAGACCTCTTGGCTATTCCATCACGTAGAAGGCAGTCTGCCATATCCATGCACTATACGCACATGCTACCTGCGATTCTGACCAATTTGTCAGTCCACCTAGCCGGTCTAATAAATAATATGAATCAAATGACCTGCCTAAGGAACGAAGAGAGGATCTTTGGCCTATTCTAAACAGTTATTCTCCATTATGTGAACATACCTTTGATCCACAAATCATCCGCAAGGACGTCAAGTAACTTGCAAACACCGACGTCTCCTAACTGAGGGTTGGCACACAATGTGATTCTCCGTAATCCTGCCATCGCGTCTAGTTCAGGCAGTCGATACCGAAGTGTGTGTGACCAGTTCTCACTGTATCTGTGGATCTTTTGATACTGAAATAACGAAAAAGGTACTAAAGCTATAAAAGTATGAGCTGTGCATTCACTTTGTGAATCCTAAACATGTTCATAGCTGTATGGGCAGCTATACTACATACATAGCGTAATTTTCGAGATTGCTGTGATTGTGAGGGGTCGATATTATTAATTTGGAAAAAGATTTTTCAGTCAACTAATATAAATTAAGAACTGTTAAAGGAAAAAGGCAATAGTAAAAAGCCAAAGGTCGCAATGTTATGCAAACAAATTCGTGCTAAGTTATTTACACTTTTCTAATGTCCCAACATACCTTAACTAGTTCCGCGATATATCCAGCTCCTAAAGGCGTCAGATCGCATCCTGACAGATCTAGCGTCAGAATGTTTGGTAGACACCTGATAGACTTGCAAACAGCCAAGCAGCCGGCATCCCCGATAAGACATCGTTGTAAGTGTAGATGTTGTAAAGAACTATTCGCTAAAAGAGCCTAGAATAGGTTAAAGGCAATTTAGGTCAGAGATAGGTATTGAATGTGAATATCTTAAAGAAACATTATCAGTAAAAGCAATCCGTGTACGGTTTGGAGCTTTGGAGGAGGACACTGGAGCAAAAAAAGATGAACGTCTTATTGAAACGTAAAATATTGTGAACAACATAATAATGTATCACGCCCCGTTTTAACTCATTGACTACTGGAGATCATCGTACCTGCAAACGGTTTTAGTTAACCTTTGGGAGGACCTTAGATCAAAAAACAAGTACCTATGTGGACATCGATTCTCCCTACACAGAATAAAAGTAAATCTTACCTCACACAAAGGATTTAAATATGGTATCCTCAGCGGTAGTCCTTCTAATAGTAAGGTCGTCAACAGTGTGGTATTAGAAAGTAGTTGTGCTGTCGCCTCCACTAAATTACTGAGCATGAAGTTTGTGAGTATCACACTTCGTTTGTTCACCGTTTTTGCTAGTCTCTCGCAGTCTATATGTTCTAATACTGTAGTGTCAGACAGGTCAATAGATTAAAGAATAATTGGAATTTGTATAAGATGGATTACAATTTTACCACTGTATGTAGCCAGGTACTAAATACGGATTGGTAAAGAAGAGACAGAAGGAAAGGGCAGATGTGGAAACCTGTTCAAAAAATAATTGCAGAATGCAATAACTTTTCTATTATTCTTCTAAATAAACAATTTCTATCGGGCATAGTGAATTATTTATTAAATATCATTAATTTGTTCCTTGTTTGTTTGTTATTTAAACTTCGTGCTGTTTTTGATTGAAGTCCGCTACATGATTTCGTTGTGATGGACAAAGTCCAGTTATGGTGCAAAGATTATTCTAGGCATATCCTATTTATGATTAATGTCTATAAATAAGTTTAGCAAGGTTATCAATCCATTGACCCTTTGATAGTTAGTTGGAACATACTAATTAATCAATTCTAGTTGGTAACGCTTTTTATATTTTTAATTCGAGATAGGACTACTGTCCTATCTCTTGATGTTGATAACCAATTGAAATTCACTTTGTATTCGTTTGAAAAATATCACAATAAATTCCAGGTTTTAATATCTCGTAAATTTTGAAAATAAGGTAACTATTTAGTAAGTTAAAACACTTGTCAATAAAGTTACTAAAGCCTTACGAAATTACCAGTTTGTTAATCTGAGTTGTATCAACATTACCCGTTTTGACTTGCTGTCGACACTTTATTGAAACAGAATGCAGGCTCAAATCACAGCTGAGTGCATTTAAAATGGGTGGCCAGTCCGCATATTTGATTCTATCCACGCAGAAATCCAACACCTTGCCATTGCCAGAAGGTATGACATTGGTCAAAGGAGTAAGGTTCTGTAACTTGCAACACTTCACGTAACATTGGTGAAATATTCTGCTACTTTTGGTCTCACTCCCTTTGCCGACCATATTCAAAAAACGAGTAAAAAATACATTCAAATCACAAATAATACCGTGCAATACGGCGCGGTTCTTTGCTCGTAATATCGTTAAAATTTATCTGTTAAATAAATATGATTTTTGATGAATAATTGCTCAAAAATATAGTAAGAGGACAGTTTGAAATTAGAATATCGTGACATTGACGTTAGTTTATTTTTTCATGTCGCCTAATTTTGCTGCGACCGGTATCTCTAAACGTCACTTTTGATGCGTTTCGTGATAATGAAACATGGAACCTCATGCATGGCCCACACGATTTCTAACTGCAGAAATTCGAACGCAGCTTTTGCTTTGACGTAACGCTCGCTAAAAATCCATAACCTTACAAGGACGTTGTAAACTAATTATAATATACTCTTTGATCAAAGCTGAAAAGGGTATTGTTACTCTCAGAGCAACATGAGCCGTCCAACTCTGGTTTAACTCTGTAGTTGGACCGCTTATAGAAACTGCGACCAAGCTGCGACTTTTGTTCCTAAAAATGTAGCTCAAAGAAAAGCAAGGATGTACAAAAACAAATATATTTAAGTAATAATTTTTATTAAAAATATTTGTGACAGTCGTTTACAAACTTCCACCGACAACACAGTCATCAAGGACTAGATATCTGATTATATTATAATAATTTGCGTTATTAATACTATTGGCAAATCGAGAAAAACATTAAATAAAATGCAATTGACTTCCACAAGCGACCGTAAAAGGCCTAAGTAACATTGCAATTATAGAAAAACCAACTTAATTACACGGACATAAGATGTATTTGTTAAAATGAAATACAAGAGACATGAATATAGATAGATACGCCGTTCATGTAAGTCAAAACGAATCAGATATTTAATCAATGATGAGACCACTTAGTGACATCCAATCAAACTATTTACATATAAAATCTATTTACTAGACGACAACGTATGTATAATAACAATCAATACTTATTAAACCTTGTCTTTTCATATCAGGGTAAAAGACAAAAAATGGCGCTAGTGTGCAAAATTGCTACCACGAAATCAAAACGATTCTATGGTAATTTTTTGTAAGTAAAAGAAATTTTTGATAAAATCATATTTGCTGCTAGAGTTATGTCAGTGTTGACGGATGTGTTTACAATTGAAAAAGTTGATTAAATTAACTGAAAACGAATATAAATCCCTGATATGAGAGATAGTTAATGTTAATTAAGGTAACACACGGTAACATTGTTAAGGCACTTACAATAAGACTTATCAACGAAAGTCTAACGCTATACTCAAAATCTTTTATTATTTCAGGTCACAAACTGTTGTACAGAGAGCGTATACATTTTCTTTAGTGTGAAGACCCTATTCCAAAAGTTATCGGCTAATAACAAATTAATATTTAAATTATTATTCTAAATCTTAAAAGAAGATAATAACTTTCAATAATATTGATATCACATTAGAGTTACAAACGATGTGATGAATTGAGAATTATATTAGAATTTATTACTAAGTGGGATTAATATTTCGTGTAGCTGTCTTTTCGAAGAACTTTGATTAATTAATTCTATAAATAACAGATGGCGTTAAAAACAAAAACTGCTTAATTTTGTTAACACAATGTCTCAGTCCACCACATCAAAAGGTATTGTAAAAAAATAAATTAAAACAAGTCTGCACTGTCACCGAAAATGCGATACATAAGATTTTTTTTTAGTCATACAATATGAATTTTTATAATGAAACTGAACATAAATCTTTCAGAATTGTATTTTTACGTCCAGAGTGAAAACTAATCGGGACACGAAGTAATTAAACTGGGAAATACAAAATTTGGTAAAAAATTAAATTTATAAAGCCTCGAGTAACAGTTGTAGGAAAATCCCAGTTCATGAAATAAAATCTTAATAATTTTTTAATGGCTGACAAAAATATGACAACGTTTTCAGTTATCTTTCATGTCAGATCTCAGGTACTCTCTTATGTAGCCCATACTAAGAATTAGGAAAAAGGCACACGGCATGTGTTAAACAAACTTAAACCTCAAGCAAACTGATATACAGTCGAAAATAACATAAACAGAATCGGACGTTATTATACGTAGAAATTATATTTTATATGTGTTTTGGGGTTTTTAACATGTTTAGACTACTTTAAAAAATGAATAAGTATTGTATGACCATTTTAATTAATTATTTCTGTAATATAATTGTTGACATAATACCTAGAGTACAGTAAACACCTATTAAATATGTACACATTTGTGTTAGATTTTGTAGATTTTTTGCATTATAACGAGATCAGTACTTTATTCAGTACGTAGCCAGGATGGACTTACTTTAACGTAGCCTCAGACGCAAGATTTTTGACGAATGTATCGTTTTTTAAAAGGTAAATAAAATAAAAATACAACTAAAAAATATAAATAAGTACAAATTATCGCTGGAAAAGGTTCTAGTGTGATCGTATCAACTCTATGCGTAAAAAGCTTAGTGTTCGACGTTTGAAAATGAATTGACAGTAATAACGGCCAGTAACACATTGTCAAATATCTTGAAACTTGGTTTTTTAATAGTTATTTTAAGTTTTTTCATCACTGGCTTTTTTGGTGCTATAGCATACATAAAAAACGTGATCGTATAAGAACATTTATAGTAACTAATTTAGAGACAATTCAACCAATTTTGTACTTTATACGGATGACATTGAAAGAAAATTAAAGCGCACACACATCACATCAAGCGAATTTTTGAAGGCTTATTACTAAGCAATAGAACTCAATATCGGTTGCATTATCTAGAAAATTGCATATGACAAGGTGAAACGCTCCGCAATAAGTACATAAGATCATACCACGCATTATAACCGTGTATCTAATAAAGTATATCTAATAGAGATAAACAGAAAGTTACATGTCCGATATTATTTCATTATCGTGTTGTCATGAGAAAGAAAGTAGAAGACACACTTCAATAAAGGAACCTTATTACAAGACATTAAAGTTGAAATTTGACTTTGTGTAGCTTCAGTTTCAGTTAGCTGTAGCGATGTCGAATACGACCACGCTTTCTTAACAAATTTCGAAATGATTAAAATATTATGTATATGATATGTGTTATATCTAAATTAGTTAGATTAATATTGGCTGACCTTTTGACCTCTAGACACGCGTACAGAGTACATTTATAAAAAGATTATCGCGTAACTTCATTTGTTATAAGATATGTAGATTAAAATCATTATTAGCTTAAGATTAGATTTAATCAAAATCGTGTAGCTTTTACTTCAAAAATATTTCTAAACCTGGCAGTATTGGAAAGAGATGATGATCATAAAGTTTGTTTTAATATATTGTTTTAGTGAGATCCCATGTCGTCTGACTTCATATCCAGTCTATGTTTAAGGACTTTTACTGCCAATAGAAAACTGTTGAAGGCAAATCCGGTCGGTCACCGGTGACCCCCGTGGCGTTTAATGTGTTAAGTAATTTGAAATGATTTTCAGAAATTTCGAACTAAAACTTCAACTTATTACAAAATTTACTTTAAAACAGAATAAAGACATTAACAAGAAATATAACTTATAACAAATGAAGTTTTCTCGACTTGATGCTCAAAATCGCCTACAAAAACGTTCTACAAGTCAAAAGATCAACCACAAAAATGATACTAAGCTAGCTCAATGTATGGCCCTCTCCGATCCGACTCTGGCTGGTCTCCATCACTGTCGGAAGCCGACATCGACCTCCTTGCGTTCCATTCACTCTCTGGATCAGAGAATATATTCCTGTCGGCTAAAGCATCGTCGTCCATCGCTTCCATATCCAGGTCGTCTGTTGAAGAAGATAAAATAATATTTTTATTACAATGGTAAGTGTTTGCATTGACTAAAATTATAATAGCAATAAGATTGAAGATTTGAAAGTTTTGAGTTTGGTGCACAAACCCTGAATAAAAGAAATTACAGCTCGACAACCCAAAGCAACAAAAAAGCAGTTTTTTAAGATCTGGTGACGACTAAAGAGACATTCTAATCATTTAATAGATTTATATATTTAAAAGTATATTGGATGCATTCGGGTAAAACTGAAAGTCAAGAAATTCAAGTAAAAATGAAATTGCGGTGTGAAAATGAGATACACCTAACAATAGAGTCCCAATAATGGACTACAAGCAAGAGGTCAAATAGAAAAGAAATCAACATAAAGTTGAATAAAATCTATATACAAGCAATATAAGATAATGCACTTCGAAGAAACCTGCCTAAGTGAAGAAAGGGTGACCAAAGTCAAAAAGAAACTATTTGCCTTTTGCAGTTGCCCAACACCTACATGCACATGCAACTTACTTCTGAGTCGTGACGAAATCGCGAATACTATGATCTGAGGATGAAACATGATTGCAATGTATAAATGAGATTATAATGGTGAAAATTGGATAACGATATCAAATATTACAATGATATAATATGGATTTGAGCGATGAAGCCTTTTTCTGAGTATCCAGCAACTTAGGTCAATTATTTTTTTTATGGCATAAGCTGGTAAACGAGCAGACGGATCATCTGATGGTAAGCAATCGGCGTCGCCCATGGACACCTGGAACACCAGAGGCGTTACAAGTGCGTTACCGGCCTTTTGGGGATTAGGAATTTGAGGATCGTTGGGGATTCAGGAATTGGAGAGATTGGAGATGGGGAGGGTTGGGCCTCCGGTAACCTCAGTCACACGACGAAACACAACGCAAGCGTTGCTTCACGTCGGTTTTCTATGAGGCCGTGGTATCACTCCGGTTGAGCCGGCCCATTCGTGCCGAAGCATGGCTCTCCCACACTTAATCAATATTAACTTTGTGATCAAATTGCATGTTTCACTTTGATTGAGTATTCTGACATTCTGTATAATGCGTGTTTGATGCGTGTTGTGAGAGTGAATCGAAAGATAATGATAATGTTATGTAATATTGCACATCTCTTCATATCAACAACTAGTAGATTTATATTAATAGACCTAGTGTAAAAAAAATACGGGAAGAATGCCGAACAAAGAAACACATTATGATAACATCACGACTTTTATCCCCGAATGGGTACCCATGTAATAGGAGGTGAGTATGAGGTGAGATTTGCCATATACCAGGCACAATTCTTAAAATCTGTATATTAGTTTTATTTCCCTAATCCGGTATCGCGATAGAAACGACGTCATGTAGCCTTAGACCAAGGAGTCTCTGGACTCTTTCTTGGATGTTCCTCATAAAAATACTAAATATGGCACTAACCGTTGTCAGCGATGAGTTCAGCGCTCCAGTCGTTGTCGAACTCAAGCTGCTTGTTGACGTCGCGTTCAGTGGGCGACTGCACCGCGTCCGTGTCCGCGTCAGTCACGTCGTATATCTCCGTCATTTTCATCTGGAATACAAATTATTTTTTATTTTTTTTATCTCATAATGAAAGAAGTAGGTACCTACTTCTTTAAAAAATAAAATAAAAAATAAAACTATGTGTACACATAGTTTTTATTTAACGTAAGGTTTTTTTGGTTTTTTCGTGAATGATTTAAGGGTAAAAGGGATAAGCTGCTATGCTCTTCAAACAATTTTACCTCAAACTTATCACTATTCTAAAATTGTACACAACTTGACATACCACATAGAAACCAGTACATATTGTTGTTCTGACAATGTTTGTTTACCTCACATGTGTAAACTTCGTCAGTTTACTTACAAAACGAAATCAATAAACAATTGAATGTGTACTAATTGCATTCCAATTGAGGACGTACAAACAATCCTTACGTACATTGCGATAAACTGAATAATTTATTAGGTATAAGTCCCTACCTAGCTGTCATTGTATTATTGTGTATGTACATATCACTCGTGTATCTATAATTTATCCTTCGTAATATAACGTATGTAGCTACATGCAGTTAGGTAGCTGTTTTCATTTATGTACGAGTATAACATAAATGTAAAAGTTACACGTATAAAGAAATTAGGGATTTATTGGGCTTCGTCAACTTGTTTTGTAATAGATAATGACAGGAAAGAATGAAATTCAATGAAGTCTTGAACCTGAAGAGTTACTAATGCCATGTCATGCTAATTGATGTCATGTATAATAATTATTATATAAGCTAATTAACAAAATAAGCCAGGGTAATAAAATTCAAGGAAATCGTGAGGAATTTTCCAACAAATATTTTTGGACTTTACTTAGATAAAGTTTTAAACATACGTCACAATTAGTTTGGACTTATTTATTACAGGAATGGCGCAAATGTGTGACGTGTGATCACAATTACAAATAAACAAAGACACCGCTATCGTATTTACGGCCCAAGCCAACGATACGTAGGTACTATTACTCACAAATGGAGCGAAGTTCGAAATATCTACTTCAAGACGATATCTTTCTGTAAACATTTATTATTTTCTTATGGATATATTGAAGTTATAACAACACAAGGAAATGTGATTTCCAGGTTAAAAGCATCCCTGGGCCGACTAAATTTTTTTTGTTTTTTATTTTTCATTAAATTCAAACTCTAGCATGGCTTTAGTATCCTATTAGGGCAACTGTTAGAATAGGCGGTATTAATTTTCCTATCTCTTCTAAATGCTTGTTTATCATTTTATCTCTTTCAAAATAAACTTTAGTGTCATATATTAATGAGTCATAATTTGCATAATACATTTTATGAGTAATATTATATTGCACCACGCCATGTTAAGATTTATAACCATGTTTAACGATTTGACCGAATTGACGTCCATTAAATAAAATAGCTATAATTCATTTTCAATATCCTTGTTGTATATACAAGATGCAATCACAATGTAAGGGTTGCTGCATGTACCAATGACAAAATGGTGTTGCCATAAAAATAAATGAGGCGGTTTAAACTAGTGTTGCCATAAAAAGATAACCCTTAACCGACCTCAAAATAGTTGACAAAAGTCTAGTAAAAGAAGTCTGTCGAGGATTTAATGCTATTTTATACCACCTATGGAACTGATCTAATCCTGCATGGATCCTATCGAGATTGTCAAATCGCGGAAATTCAAAATACTTTGACCAAACACGAACTAAGTTTCTCCTAACCTAACCCAAGTAATAAATCAGACACTTATTAAGCTGGCTTTAAAAGTCATTATAGCATGAATATATTTTTTCTCTCGATCATGATTATCAGCGATAACCCTGTGCGTGCGGTCTCCTTATGTTGTATGTCGTACGATGCTCACGTCATTCAGTCGAACCGCGCACGCCATTGGCCGTCGATAGTGCGGGTCAAGTATGCTAATTAGAATCACTCGGGACGGGATATTTGCAAGCGGAAAGATGCTACGATTTAACAAGGGGTTGTATGTGTCACTGGTATTGTTGTGAAGAGTTTGTTGTTTGTTTTCAACAGCATCGGAGTAGGTGGTTAGATAATCAAAGCAAAGTAGTATTAGATGAGTACTTACTAGTTGAAGACTCCCAGAAACAGTCGTGTAGGTAACAAATATTAGATATTCAATTTTTAAGTTACAGTGATTAGGTCAAAATAATAGAATTTATGTTACATTAGCGCTACCGCCATCTAGTGAGCAAAAAATCTAAGGACATAGTCTAAGAGTTGCTTACATTCTGCAACCAAAGATCATTTTCTTGTTAACTGAGACAAATAGTAGGTATAAAATTTACCTTATTTTCACTGTCGAGGTAATAGTAAGCGAGCAGTGCTTCATTATGTGACGTCACGTTGAGAATGTGCTCGAACGTGTCCACATCATCGTGCGTTGATCGCATGTCGCCGTATGTGATGCGGAACTCGCTTGCACGCCTGGTAAAACAATGAAAACACACATTTGAATAACAAAATTTTGTTTATAAATACTTACTTACGCATTGGGTTTGGTTAGTTCCAGCAACTTTGAGAATTACTATTAATTGCTCTTATTACTTTTTTGTTGTAGTACGAATGTGGTGTACCTAATCGGCAAGTTTCGATTATTTGCGATCAATAAAAAGTTTCAGGTTACCAAAAATGATAAAATGAATTTACATTTAACCAACATCGTTGGATAAGTGATTGTAAGTGTAGTGTGCTGAAGGGAAGTAAGAATTTGGTCTTACATTTTTCAATCATTTTTCAATCAATATGGTCTTTTCTTACGTGGGACTCGTAACAAAACTAGCAAAAATGGGTGTGACATTGATGTTGCTATAATTAAAAAAAAACATTGAACTCACAAGGTGAGTTAATTCGCTAAATATATCCGACATCCTTAAACACAAAATCTGTCTCATTATTTGATAACATTCACAGATAGCAAACATAATTACAGGACTGATAACGTGATAAAATCACGGCTGTGTACACTAATCTTCCTGCGCAATTTTGAAAAAAGAACCTAACAAGCCATGAAGCGAGTAGAAAAAACTATTTGAAGGAAATTAGGTAAGTAATTGCAAATGTTTTCAGGATGAATGCAATTATCTTTTGTAATCTAAACGAGGTCAGTTACTAATGTTCAGTGAAATCGCCTCTGCTCTATCTATCAATGTACAGTAGCTGTGTAACTAATGTCAAAAGTCTGTGATATTTATTTTTTATCAAAAGAGGTTACAGTACAGTTCACTTCGGGCCTGTTTATTTATTTTTTTTGTACTACGACGATTCGATACTCGCAGTATGTTTGTTGGGAATTTTTATTTATTTTTAGATGGGCCAAACCAGATATTGTTTTCATATTCCCTGAAGATTTTGTGATGTTATAAAATAACACCCATTTCCTGGCAAGTCAATAAACACCGGAGAAGATAAAACAAGACCTTATTGACATAAAACGCTAGTGGCGCCATTCGATAAGAATTAAATCCCTTTTGGGTGAATGGGATTTGAAATGCACTTGGCACCGGTTAACGCAAATGCTACTGACACGGTTATCGTTACAATGTGTATGTTTCTTTAGATTTTAACGTGGTTCATCGATAACTGATAACGTCGAAAGTTAATCCAACAGATTACGGCAATAAATTTAAATGATTCACGTCATAATGTTGACCTTCAAGGTCCCTAATGACGTATTAAGATGTAATTAACAAAGAAATGGTTTAGTTGAAACAATCCAAGCGAATATTATGATAATATCAACATTAGCATTATACCATAAACAACGGACTCAGCAGTCATTAACATTATAATCTTAATTAATAAGTACTCACATTATTTCAAGATGAAAAAAAAAATAGTTTTTTCCCTTAAATTTTCCTTTGGAGATTAAAAGGCATAACTTTATGACTATATTTATGCAAATCGTCTTTTTTTCGGAAACCATTAAGATAAATAGATACTTAAAGTTATAGAGACCCTTAAATGTGAACAATACGTTATTGTTTCTGAAACAATACGCGAATATTTTCAGGATATCTTATCATTACATAATAATATCTAGCCCTTATTTCTTGTAAATACTAATAGCTATTACTCAGAAACCATTTGACTGCGTAAGACACTACAAATTGGACTGCGCAGATTTTTTGCCCTTTGTTCTTTTTATTCTGATTCTATAATGCTTTTTAAATTGTTCTACAGTAAAATGTTTATATTTACGCAACGAATACCATAATAGATGTCTTTGTGCATTTTTTTGCGGTTCATAGTATCATTAGGGAATTGAAGTTAATGATGAAAATATATTCTGAAAGAAGTATTAGGTATTTTAGTAAACCCTTTTGTTAAATCATTTTTCAAACTGGTTACAGAACGCCTACAATTTTAATTATTTCGCCATAAAAAACCCACGTCGCAGTCATTAATCAGTACAAAGTATACATAAACAGAGGTATATAAAACGGAATGTCACGATATAATGCAATAAAGACGCTATGTGATTAGGCATAAGTACTATTTTATCTAAAATATTCAAAAGAATTATTGTAGATCACCCCCAAGGTTGAGGATTACGTTATCAGATCTAATAATTGGAAAAACTGGATTAATGACACACATTGTTTGCGAAAAAATTGTATAAAATTTCGCTAACTGCGCAGTACATATTATTTATTATCTCTTTTGATAAAATTATGCGTAATTTTTATAAAGATAGCTGATTTTTTCCCGTTATTATATAATTTCTAATTTAATTTTGCCGGTAATTAAGCATTTTTTAAGTAGGTATACCTGTTTCAATTAATACTAATGAACTCATTATTTCTTTATAATTGTTTCTGCTTCCATGGTTTTACTTTTAACAGAAAAAAGATATTTGTGTTAAAGTGGCGCTGTAAACGTTTTAAGGCCTGGAACATTCAACTGCCAAAATTATTAAAAATATTACAAAATTAGTTGTAAAAACACCACAGGTTTGGATTTAATGTAGGGTTAAAAATATACAAAATGTGTTACTTATATTAAAAATACCATATGCACATCTAAGATATAATAAAAGTAACATCAATTTCACTGTGGGAAACCAACCTCCTGCAAACGGAACAACTTATCACTTATCAATTATATTTTACATTTTACACAACAATGTAAACAATTATTTAGTGTAACTGTGTAACAGTTATCAGTAACGATACTTGGGTGAACATCTACAAACTCGAGAAATGGGACATATGGATAACAGTCTTTGTTATTTTATCGACCGTATAGTGTCAATCAGAACAGCTGTGTTCCCTTTGTTAGTTACAACTTCATTTTGATTTATATTGTAATTATTTATTAGCTCATTCGACAAAACTGCTGATAACAGGAACTGTAATGACTTCACTAAACTAAACAAAAACCATTTTTTTTACAATGTTTGTTAGTGCATAGGAGACATTTCTGTAAGTAACAGTAAAACGCAGTGAATAGAATTCAAGAAGTGAATAATGGTTGGGAAACTGTTATAACATCTATTCACCCCATTCCTGTATTTATTCACTCTTTGAATTCTACTTATACAGTTTTACGATAGTAAAAATATATTGTTTTGAAATAAATGTTGTATTATATATAGTTTATTGGTTTCGGTATTATAGTTTCTTGATTTCTTGTATTGTTACTCATTTTACTCACAAACGACAATAGAACGTATTATAAATTTAGAACAAAGACCAATTTAAGGAGTTTAATAATGCTTATTGTAGCGTGCAGTTGACAATAAGAGACATGAAACTTGGTCTTAGAAAAGGAATAAAAAGCTAAACCAGACTTAGTCTTTCTTGGTAATCCTTTACACATCTTTTTGTTCAGATTTCGGCATTAAATTTGAAGTGATTTTGTGGTTTCTTCTAAATACATTACATACAATACTAGCTCTCTCTTGAATTCTAAATATAAGCCGAGATAATATCTATTAATAAATGGAATGCACTAGAGGTTGTCAGTACAATACATAATAATTATTACATAAACACAGGTACATAGCAACTATAGGTATGAAATAGTTCATCGTCATTCATAGATATACATAACTTTATCATGATTGGTCCTACATTATCGTGTACTAAGAGGTAGGTATAATGTAGTAGGTACCCTAATTAGTTTATTAAATTGTGATAATTTAGAGGGCAGACAACAAAGGTGTGCTACCGAAAATAATGAATAACAATAATTATTGCGAACAAAGTTCGTATTTTTGTCGAACGAATAGAAAGAAGGAATAGCTACAATAAGCTTTTCAGTAAGTTATTTAGATAACTTTTCAAAATAGGTAAATAGAAGATAGTAGTACTTATTTATGTATCCACAAAGTTGGACTTTATGCTTTTGGCATATTCTGTCAGTCAATGACTGTCAAAATTACAGTCGTCTACCAAATAAAGGTCAAATTTGAATGTCTTCAACGCCAAATTCACTCAATTTACTGCATAAAATCCGTCTCAGATAAGTACCAAAATATAAAACATCTTTAATATAATATTACCTACACGTGTCATGCAATGCATCATTCATATCGCAGATAAGAGAATGCATATTATCTGAATAATTAAACATAATTACCAATTAGTAATCGTCACCTGATTGAACGAATTACATATAAAAGGCCAAAAAATGAATCATTACTTTAATTATACAACTATACAGTTAAAAACAAAGATAGTGCAGCCGTTTGGTTGTAAAGAACAACAAACATGCCGGAGATGACATAAATATTTACGTTCAGTGGCTACTACGCAGTACGCGATCTAAATGAGAATATTATCTCATGTCCCTTTAGGTATATTCAACATGTAGGTACTTCTTGATAGAGAATACGGCATGTGAAGACTTCAAACACGATATTTGAGTAGAATAAATAATTTTTATTGCATTGTATTTAAAGAACTGAAGTGTAATCAGAAGCAATTAGACTACTTGTAGGTGCATGTTCAAAGTCTAAAACAATTTGTTACAACTACAATCTATTGTCAAAGATTGCCTGTGGAACGTCATACTTTATCTATCTGTATATTTGCTGCATTTTACCGCAAATCGGTTTTGTTCTAACAAAAAATCAGAGTCGGGGGTCGATTGTGAACAACATTCCAGGAAAAAAATGTCGGTGCAAAAGAAATAAGCCGTACCTGCTTCTCAAACTACCCTTTTATGGGATAAAGTAAATGGGATATATTTTTTATGGAATAGTGGTCTAAGGCGCTGATAGATCAAGTGATGGTAAGCAATCAGTGCCGCCCAAATGGCCTTTTAAAAAGGAGTAGTTTACGAATCTCTTCTTTATAATACAAGGATAATTCCCAAGAAACGTAAAAAATAAATGATATTGGCAAATACTATGACAAAGCAAATTGAGGGCCATTCTCTAGAAGTTCATAGCACATCAATGAGCTCGTTACGTCATTACTGGACAATAAACCCGGCATTGTCTTCGAATACCCAAACCAAAGTCAAGTTTAACCAGCTATCGAAGGTCGTGCAGATTAGATTACTACTTATAAAACGATACCATATATTATAGTTTTATTACCAAATCCTTGCGGACACGATATTAGTAATTATATGATGTTTATCATACATTCACATGATTAGAATAAGAAGGCTTTTGTTTGGTTTAAAGTTTAAAAAACTGGTGGTGTAGCAAAATCAAATGGGTGACGAGTAACGTAACAAATATTCAGGTATTTTCTCCATTCACAGAGCAGGTAAAAGAATAATGAATTGTGAATTCATTGATTAGCAACTTGAATAGGCCGGCTCGACCAGATAATACCTTAGTTTTTACACAATACAATCTTGCAGGCTTTTGATTAAGATCCATAGGGATAATTATGTCCTTAGAGAACCTCTCCTTGGAGAAACGAATTGTCAAGTTCGAGGTTGAGAATATCACCAACCGTAATACCATTTTTAACCTGACTTCCACAGTTAGTATTATCTGTTTGAAATCGTTCTCCAAACCCCTGAATGTTTGGACATTGGACAAACAATACATTTCAACTTTAACAAGTTTCTTAATCAATTGAATATTTGACTTACCTCCTGTCCAGCTGTCTGCCATCAGTAGCGTCCGTCTTGTTGTCCATAGTCAGTTTGTAGTAAATCCTAGCGGCGGCCTCGGAACGATCATGTGTAGCATACATGAAGCCATGTAGCTGTTGCAGCATATTGAGGCTCAGCTTCCAAAGTGACTTGCTCATTTTCGGAGTACATGTAACGAATCTGGTGAAGAAAGACAAAATATCTTTATTGTAAACGCAAGTAGAAGATAATCATAGAAAGAGAAGGTAGATCTTACGAAGAATGTAGGGGATATAAGATATAAGGTCTTCGCTTCTCACAGGTTAAGGCTCAAAGTCATTGGACCGCAAAAGGCCTATGAACAATATGGTAGCCTTGTGGTTGAAATAATATATGATAGGATAAGTAAGAATGAAATAAATGATATTGGGCAACCTGCAAGTAAGGGCAAGCAGAAGAACCGTTATTAACTTTACGGTGCCCAGGAACTGACTTTACGGTAATCGGTTTAAAACAGACGGTTTCTTATCGCCAATAGCGATATCTTCCAGACACGGAAGCTATGACATATTTAAAGTAGATTTTTAAATGAAATATTAGATGGAGGAATCGATTTTGAAGCGGCAATTAAGGGGTCACACCGGTCGTCAAGAACAAATTAGTTGAAATTATAAAACTTTTTAAAGATTAAACTTATGTTATGTTTAGAGTTCATTAACTCATAAGATGAATACGAGCGGTTCTTAGATGTCCGTCCTCCATAAGGAAAACGTTACAAAAACGTTTACTTAAGCATTTTTAAGATCACGGGCTAAGTTTACTATTTAACTTAGTGTTGGCGAAACTGTCAAAGTCCAACAAAATAACAATTATATGATATTTTATGGCAAGATAAGTATAGTAGGTACTACAGGGTGTAAACGGAACGCTGCCTCTTGAATCGCTGATAAAAAGAAATGGTATTTTAATAATTTTTGTCCTCGTGTTATTGATGCAACGTCAGCCTTGAACAGTTGATTACAACTATTGTAACATAAAAGAAACATTGAATTCCTTACTTTTATGAAAATATAATGTTTTTTACCATCAACTGTCGGCGTTTCTCGAGAGCGTTGCGTTTACACCCTGTATTTTGTACGAGGTAAGAGTCAGAGATGTATGAATATTAACGTAGGCGCCTTATTATACATTACCTAATTACAAAGTCACATCATAAATTCGCATTAAGACGTAATACAGTATGTCGGTAGCTTCGCGTCTCTACAATATCTAGTTCATGAGATTAAAGGATTTGATAATGAGCACAAGTGCGAAAACGTGACGATTTTATTGTCAATGCAGATAATATTTTTTGCATAGCACATTTACATATGTTTGTAGGCGAATATTTTATGCGAACATAACTTGGGACATAAGTTAATAAACTTTACTGATACTATGATTTGCATATTTAAACAAAGCAATTAATATTCGGAACAATAATAAGTCATTCATAACAATTAAATAATAATACTATTTGTATCATAGAGGTAGACATAGTTCCAAAACAACAAATTAATTAACGCAAACAAAATAATCACTATGATTAGAGTTTCGTCATCGGAAGTATTGATAACGTAAGTACACAGTAACCGTGAGACATTCTAGACTATTCGATAAACTATTTTCTAGTATCTATAATTGAAGACATGAGTGGATGAAGGTAGTACCGTAAAATGGGGTGAATAGGGACAGAAGAGGGGTGAATATTATAAGGAAATTCTTCATAGTATCGATTCACCCCTCTTCTGTCCCTATTCGCTGCTCAAATCCTATTCACCCCATTTTATCGTATGTAGCATTTTATCAATTTTTAATTTCATACAATAAATGAAGGTGCTATGTCCTTACACGCATTTTGTTCTTTCAAACATTGTTGAAATATGTCTAAAATGAAGATAAACGGTGTATGAATGTTGTATGTGCCGGAGGTCGGTAGTAGCAACATAATAATGGTAACTTTAAAACTTACATATAACATAACATCACGCCTTTTATCCCCGAAGGGGTAGGCAGAGGTGCACATTATGTAATGTAACACCCACTTTTCACTATTTATGTTATGAGTCCCATGTAATAGGGGGTGAGCCTATTGCCCTATACCGGGCACAATTCCAGACTCCGTGCTACCACTGAGATTTTTTTTTTTAAAAACCCAGTGATACTTTAAAACTTGTTCCTGATAAATTTTTAACCAGTGACATGTCTTCATCAATTCATGTCTTCAATTGTAATTATCATAACTTAAACTATTAGGCAAGTATACTCTTCGAAGAAAGGTATGCATAAGTCCTTCCATATGCATACCTTTTTTGAAGACTTAAGAAAAATGGCTGTAATGCAGTACATATATTATTATAATAAACATTGCCAATGTTATTAGTTATTAGTTTGTAGGGTTGGTGGAGTAGGAATAAAAGTTTGATAACATTCAGTATTGTCTTTAACTACACATGTATGAGATGTATATGTCATGTATAGAGAATTTAGTGGACAATTCACAGTAGGTAAGTACGTGCTATCTATAAGGCTACAATTTCTGACTGGTTATACAGAAAATATTGTAAGATGGGAATCATGTTACATGACGAACTACACACATAAACGGGTACATGCATTTACATGAATATATGTGTGAGTGTCCCTACAAGGTCTTCTTTCTCCAGGTCTTTGCTTTCTATATAGTTAACTAGCTTTTACCCGCGGCTTCGCTCGCGTCATAAAAGGTTAAAAAGTAGTCTATGTGACATATACCAATACACACAGCGCCATCTATACCAATAATTTCGTTTTCCCCCGAGAATATCAGGTTTAGTAGTTACGGAGCGAAAGTGGAACAAACAAACTCACTTTCCGATTTATAATATTCATATAATATAGTAAGGGTAAGGATGATTGGCACAGAGTTTTACCCAATTGGTAAAGTCCGTATGTGTTATAGATTAATCTTTTTTTATATTTGATGGACCGACGTTTGCCCACTATCTCGCCTGGTAGTAAGTGATGATGCAGTGTACGATTGAGCACGTCGTCCTATAAGCGACCTATTTACCCGGGCCTAGAAGACACCCACGTTAAACCTTTTAGGAAATACAGACTATTAGAAATAATCGATTGCAATTTGTCTACACAGTCCACTAAATAATGTGATACACTATTTTTCTGGCTCATTATCAATTTTTTGAACTTCTGGGCTTACCGTACATAAATATTGTACAGGTTGACGATATAATAAAAAAATAATATTTAAAAACTCCAGAAACAAAAATAAATATTTACTTAACCCGAATATTGAACGTAGTTTCATTAGTAACGTTTCCTACTCGAATCCATACATAGGATGTATGTAAACATACAAAAACAGGATGTTATTATAGGTCAATAGAATCTGTTCGGTATTAGCTTTTACACAATAACGGACAAACAGTTGTTTTATCAAGTACAATATTCAGCTGTTTCAGCTGATAAAGGTTTGTGCGAGGTCAAAATGTTCGTTCACTTTCATAGCTGATTAGAACAAAGTCGTGTAGATTTTATCAAATAACTAACTTCATAAAGCTAGGCGCCATTTGAAGGATTCCCCGTCATCAAAACAAAAAGTGTATCGTAAGCTTTATCTTATTTAGTATCCATTATGTTTACTAGTAAATAATTTTATTCAAATCACCTTATCATTTATTAAATTCTAATATTTACGATTCAGCTAAAAATCGCGCTTTGCTCACGTGATTATAGGTACTGAGAAAAGTACTGAATAATTTAGTATGTGTCACGATAGTTATTATAAAATATGAATGTTATTGTTTAAACATGCAAATGTTTTCCGTCACACATTGCTAACCACTGGAACTCCTGTAAATCATTGTCCATCATCCACAAAGTAGGTACAACAATCAGAAAACCTCTATGATCTTATCCTATGTCATAACCATTCAAGAATGCCACATATATTTTAGGTGTTAAAAACTTTCGGCCTATGTAAATTGGCGATTGTTACAATGACAATAGAACTAACCGATATCTATCCTCCGAGGTAGAGAGAAGTAACTTAAAAAGGCATAAAGTAAATTTTTGGAAGAATTTCAACAATCACCGATTTTCTTTAGCGGCAAACCTTACTAAAGTCCTATTAAGAAAGAAAAAACATTTCAATTCACTCTGAAACTTTAAAGGATACAGGACATCTTCTACAATATCAACAAACGAAGCAAAAATATCGCAAATCTGACGTCATTTAGAAAGTACAAGTTATTATGACACATTAAGATCATAATAAAAGGTAAAAACATGACACAAATGTACTAACAACAATAATATCATCCAATGTTTATGTACTCTACTCTCAACGCATGTCTTATCTAATCCAAAGAAAGCTGAACAAACAGTTAACAGAAATAGTTTATCACTGCAACTATTGTGTGGTATTATAGAATAACATTTAGTTTATAACGATCATTTTATTGTAATTGTAATAAAGGATAACAAAGCCATATCTGCTTGATTAAATAAAACATAGCTTGTTTTGAAACCAAGGAGGAGATTCCTCATGGAGTGTTTAGACTAAACAAAACACTGCTGAATAAATCCAGAGCTCGAGGCTCCCAGGGCTACCTCATTTTATAAAACGTAATTTTTTTACGTGTACCCCTAACATAGGTAAGAACGATCAGGGACTATAAAATTCGGCAGGTGGCTTCTTCGACAGATAACAGGTAAATAAGGTGAGAAAAATAGTAGGTAAGTACTTCCATAGTACAATAGAAATTTACATGAAATAATGTGGGAGTGGAAATATTCCCAAAAACAGCCAAAACGAAGTTTTGTCTTACGGTCTGATTCTGAAAGTCTAAAATTTAAAATTGAATGACACACAATGTTTTGCAAACGATAGTATAAATGTTGAATTAAAAAGAGAACAAATGCAGGTTCCAAGAACAAGCAAAAACAAAGAAAATGGCAAAAAAATCCTGCTGAATTTCAACAACAAACCAACTTAAAGACATCGAATTAAAGAGAATTACCGGAACAATAACAAAACATAATCTATACCTATTGTGCAATTGACGTAATATTCAAACATTTAATTTAATCAAAGCAAGTTTATTACTCTCTGAACAAAAACAAATTACAATGTAAGTTCACGATTTACATAACATTTACATAATTATATCAAATACTAAACTATTGTTATGATACATAATATTACCTAACAATAATATAGAAATTAAACAGAAAGAAATCAAGATCGACATTGACCTAATTCATAAAAAAGAACTTCGTAAGATAGGGAAGACGCAGAAGATAAAATAATGTTATTGTAGTATAATACTGACTGTGACATGTTTATATAAAAAAATGTATTTGCGTCAGAGATAGGTTAAATACAAGTCAAGTCGATTGTATTGATGACGTTAAGAATATGCAATAGTAATATTATCTACAAGATTTGCTAAACAAGGAAGTATAATAATGATATTATCAAAAAAGATATACGAAGAAAGATGGCTTAATGTTCGTTTCAACATGGACTTAAAGGACAAAATAGCAAAGCACAGACAAACAGAAAGGTTTCAGCACAAATTTACCTAGACGGCGCCATAGAGAACAGACACTTTTGGCGTCAAAACAAAAATAGGCAACCGAAAATATTTATGCTATGGAACGAATATAGGTTTTTAGTCAGTAAGACATTTCCTATCGCCTCACCCGGGCGAAAAAAGCCATTGGATGATTTTCCCGCTCAAAAAAAATTGGACGGAATATAACATTTTGATAGTGCCCTTTGCAGACGCGAGGAGGTATATTGTGTTAAAGACACGTCACGTAGAAACTATCAACAAAAAGGCCACTGAGACAGAAATTAGCTCTACCCTGTTAATAACCGACACCAGAACATAGAACAAGGGACAAATAGTACAAATACTACTGACGAACACAACCCTTCCACCTTCCAAAAACTTGAAAGACTGACCTAGTCATAACGTTGTTGTGACGGACACACCTCTTTCTACGGATGACCACATTCCCAGCCACTTTGTACTGAACCGCATGCGTCTCTACTCTATCGCCCACATAGCTAAAAAGCGTTTGATGTGTTAGTGAAAAGAAGCGGGAAATGATTTAAAGAAGGAAATAGAATAATTTCGGTTTTATGACTGTGCTTTTAGAAGCTTAAGCAAATCTAAGAACTGTATACAATAAGGAACTATGTTATATGGCAGATCAATCAATTTTATTTACCGATTCTAAACTAAGAAGCTCAAAGTTGGGGAAAGAAAACTAAGCAATTCGTTTTAATATGTGATAAATTTTTTCGTTGAAATATGTGATAAACTCTGAAGTCTATGTTCGTTGCCTCCGCTGTCCTCTACCTACATTCTTTATTATTTTTCCAGAATATTCTATAAAATATCGAATTGTATCGAGTTATCGCATCACACAATATTATTTCCTAAAACCCTTGACACAGTTGTGGTAGCAATGGCGTGCTATAAAAATAGAATATTATGCAGAAATATAAATTGATAACATTAATTCAATATGAAAACCGTACATATATCTATTAGAATAGAAACATTGAACTAACCTTCATCTAAATTGTATCATGCATTAACTTTACGCATACGAATGTACTTTTTACAAAAAATATAATGTACTAAAAATAATGGAAAATATAAATAGGTTTAGGGCAACTTATTGCATCGGAATATCTAGGTAACATAATAAAATAAAATGTAAATATTATAATGACTTGTTATGATATGATATCTACCTGCTTTAACCGCAGAAACTGAACTTGAAAGAATACGAGGCCTTCCATCAAATCGTTATGAAAAACCTACGTTGTTTCGTTTCAAAAACCTCAAGGTACAATGTCGTGTAGTACATAACATATAGGTCTAGAAACCTGTTCAGTTTATAGAAGGGCAAGTCAAGTATCAAGTATATAGATGTCGCGATCAGAAAGCTACTTTCTCTCCGAGAAAGGTATGGATGTAATGAGATACATCGACGCCCATGCATATTTCAAAACATCAATCTCCCGGCGATGATTGCTAATTTAAAAGTAATTTATGCATAGTAATTATAAGAATCAATTTCGAAGAACACCATTTCGCAATGGTTGAAAAGTATGGGTATTTGGGTAATTTAACGTCAAATGACCATCATTTGTTAATAGCTTTGCACTATCGGTGTCAGTACCACCGGTCATCGGTTTGAGGTAATAATAATAATAATTAAAATTAGCTTCCCAACACAATCGAATTTGTAGAACACGCAAACTAACATCAATAAACTTTTGCTGAGGAAACCTTATTCTTTATCTGAATGGTATGATTACTACTACCATTTCTCTGTGCGAGATCTAATGACTGCACAATACATTAGGCAGTCAGCAAATAGTTATTGAACAAAATACCCATCGCTACACCACCGATTTTGGCAGTAAACTCACTCGCGGTAGATCCCATTTTAATAGTTTCAAACCTGTTCCTCCAAAAAGTATTTAGTTGCTCCTATATTCTGTAATGTATAAGATACTTACTTGGTAAACGAAGCGTACATAATGTCGATGGGCACTCTGTACGGTAGCGTGAGGAGTGTGAGGTATCTCATAGCCCTTTGCCTCATCACCCAGTTGACAATACCACTGTTTGCAGAGTCTATCGCGTTCTGGAATATTGTCATCACTGTGTCTGGTAGGTCGTCCACTAATGCGTCCTAAAATGTAACAAACTTTAAGTAAATAAATTCAAGGACTAGTGCCGGAATACTGAAACGTTACTCAATTTTAAGTCGTGCTTAAATATCGTGCCATCTCTGTCATTTTACAAAGAATTTGTAGAGACAGAACTATATTTAAGCGCGACTTAAAATTGAGTAGCGTTTCAGTATTCCGACATAGATGTCCTAAATGCAGTGTAGTCGAAAGATTTTCTAGGCCAGCTACTAGCTGGTGCTGCAAAGCCAGCTGGCTTAGAAACGGTTCTAACCCAGAAACCAAAATGTATGGACTATAAGTTCTGCTCGGTCGATTTTCTTGGATTTGTATTCTAGTGTTTCTACTTTGTAAGCATTATTCGTTATTTTTTTTTTATAGAGATCTATACATTCAAATTGCCAAAACAATAAGGTAGGCGAATAAGGCTACAGTACCTATAATGTAAGTAATAATCAGATAATCTTTATTACTCTTGATACAGGTATTAAGCGTGTTGATGATATTTGAATATTATCTTGCTTTATCTTTTACGTATAATTTACTGTTTCTTTGGTGTGCTGTTCAAAATCGACTTCCCACTACGAAATTTAATTCTACCAGTCTTAATTCGTAATTTTCTCAAAGACATATTTTTAAATTACTACGATTTTTTTTTTTTTTTTTTAAGGGGGGAAAATCATCGAATGACTGCTCCCGCCTGGGTGAGGCGGAAGGGAGTGTCAGACTCTTACTGACTAAAAACCACCCCGTTCCTTCTCCTGCACGTCGAGCCGGAGCCCCGGTTACCCGTTAGGTTCTCCGCGACTCCGAATCGGCATTACTCCTGTTGCCATTACTACGATAGATCTGATATTAGATATAATCAACCAGTTGGTAGTTACTAAAATTCCAGTATATTAGGTACATTAAAAAAGTAAAACTTCTCCCCTTACCTGTCTATGAGTTTTGCATTCTTCACAATCTGGGTCGTATTCATACGTGGTGTCATCCAATACATCTTGCAGTTGGAACGTAGACTGTACAGCCAGACATCTCGTGCAAGAAATCATGTTATTCCTTTGCAAAAATCTGAGTGCATCATCGAAACCTTGTTTGCACATATTGCTAAGGACCTCCGGTTTTGGCGGGAATAGAATGCGCGCGAATCTGTTCATGTTCTGTTTTGACAGTTCTATGCTTGTGTTTGCCAGATTTACCTGATTAAAAAAAAGTTTACTTAAAACCTATTCAACCTCATTTCTGATTTTTTTTTAAAGTTGCTCTACTTATTTAGGTGATTTATTTCATGAGCATTATTTACTCATTAGCCTAATAGGGTTTTCATAATAGACATTAAAATATCTAGATGTTATGACATTATAAATGACTATTGTGGTAACATTTATAATAGGACTGGTTTTGCGCATCGTAGACTTGAATATGGCGTGATTTCACAGCATGTTACGTGATGTGATAAGTCACGTAACTATTTCTTTAAGATTAAATGGTTAAGCATTAGTGTAATGTTATTATGGGGCATTATTTAGAAATACGTTTAATAAATCATATTTTACAAGTAAAGAATTTTAATGAAACATGGGCTTTTGTTCACAGTCGTAAAATAATTATTAGATTTATTAGGCACTTATTTGTAGGTACCTAGTCGGTCTTATCAATGACTTTAGGTTAATTTTAATTGTCTTTCTATATGTGCAATACAATGCCTCATTAACTATTCATTGTATGTAATAAGTACAATATATGCAACAAGTAAGCATAGTTACCTAGCTCTGTTGCCAATGTCCTATGACATCAGTATGCACCTTACGACTTTACAAAATATGCAGTATAATGATATTAGGATCAATCATTATTGCTTATTAAGTATAAAGTTTATATTTAGTTAACAATAGATAGTTTTTAATGCTTGCTATTTTAAAAGTAACTTCAGTTACATACAAAAATAATACTTACGTGGAACAGCTGTGAGCTCAAATCCCTGGGGCAAATATCGCTCTCACCACAGAACGGGCTAACGGTGATTGTGTTCTCATCTAAAACTGGCAGGTTGTCGCTAAAACCACCGTCCATGTAGCGGATGCCATGGAAACGTGGGGGCAGCAGCCCAGAGAATACTGGCACGAAACACGACGCCAACAGCGCCTAACAATATAATTTGAAAATTAGAACACCAAACTTTACCAAAGAGTTTAAATACCAGAATATTTTAATTAATAGATGAAAGGAAAGGATGGGGATCAAACAGGGATATATGAATGAGGAATGACAAGAATGATATGATAGAAATATCTAGGAACTCTTAGGAAAAATATTTGACTTTTGAAACAGAAATAGTAAGATGTAGTTACTTAGATTGTTATTGCTTTATGAATGGTTCTTTAATAAAATCTTGGACATTTATGATACAGTAAATTCAATCAGATTACAAAAATCCGAACCACGTTCAAAGCAGGTTATGTAAGTAATACATCAAAGCATTTTTTCATGCAAGTATTTGACATACATTTGGAGTAAATGTAGATAACTAGAGCATGTAGACATTGCTCGTCATTTAAACGTTATTATTGTAGGAAGTAACTACGCTTGTCGCATCACCGACACTTTACGATTATGACATCACAGTTTCCGAGTCCAAGTACGACAAAAACAAATGTTACGCAAAGTGCGAAATAACTATTTTGTTTCACGCAAAAAACAAATATATTACGCATTTATTTCTTGTGTTACTGATAATATGATAATGAAAATTTACTATACTCAATGGAATTATAAAATAAATGGTAATGAAGGAGGATCATAGGTCGTTAGGGTCATTTACACTTATACGATTGGGTATTAATTGTTATGAATAGTTAGGTGCTGCTTCATAATTTGAGTGCATGCTAATATGAAGGACAGCTGAAGAAGTGTCGGGACGGGATAAATTTTCGAATACTGCAGTTTTGGCTTTTCCATTTTCAAAATTCTTCATGGATAACTACGAAGACTGGAAATGCCTGTTAGATTCTGTTACGTTGTACATGCAAAACGTACATTTTGATATCTGACCAACCTTTTCAAGGGTAACACGTGTTATTATTTTAGCAATGCGTACCTGTAACAAATCTTCCCTCGTGGGGAACTCGGAGACAATAACATTCTTTCCATCATACACCCTGGTCAGGGAAATGTGAAGTTTGCCACTGACGATCTTGTGGACATCGTGGGGCAGGTACTTCTGCATGCCCTCGAGGAGGACATTTTGTATGTTGAAGGAAGGGCTGAAAGGCCCGAGGGAGCCCGCCCTCGCCTCGCTAACGACCCTTAACACATCTGTCGTGATCTCACCTGTTGAACATACAAAAGTGGTTAAATGTTTTAATTTAGTTATGGTCGGCAACGCACTCGTGGTGCGTCTGGTCTTGCAGAGGAACTTAGCCTTCCCTACGGTAACCGTTTATTCAAGCGAATCCGTCTGATTTTGCCATGTCAAATTAAATTGCAGCAGCCAACCGAATGCTGGCGCAGTGGGTGGGCGAGCAACTTCGATCAATATTATAATTGCCCGTCGTTTATGGTGACGGAACCACATGGGTCTGGTATTTATTTAGAATCTGCGTGTGAAAATCAGCTTGTTCCCACTTTGACTGGTACCTATGTATGTAGCTATGTATGTTTGTCTGCGATTATCGCATTCGCATGATTAACTGAACCGATTTTGACACGGTTTTCGAAATAATATTATTATCTATCAAAAATGTTTTTATTCATCACTAAATAGTATAAAACAAACTCTATCCGCCGTCTGTCTGTCCCTATGTATGCTTAGATCTTTAAAACTACGCAACGGATTATGATGCGGTTTTTTTTAATAGATAGAGTGATTCTTAAAGAAGCTTTTATATGTATAATACATGCATATTGCACCCGTTCGAAGCCGGGGTGGGTCGCTAGTTTATAATAAATCAAATTTTTGACAGACTATCTACGAGTTTCGGACCAGTTGCGTTGGAAACAAGCTAATACGATATTATCAGCAAATCTGAGGTTAATTATGTGACGTTATCAGTTCGTGTCAATAACCTATGGATATAGGACATCAGCTGTTAAGATTATTGTTTGCTAATAATGAGAACATTGAGGATGTGTGCACTTATAGTTAAATGCGAGACTATTCAAGCATATTACTGCGATTGTTCAATTGATGCGCGACGACGATTGTTTAGCGTTGAAACTTGAAAGTCGAGAGACTATATAACGATCGTTTGAATAGGCATGCATGCACAGGTGCTTGTTTGCAAAACTTCTTATTATTTTTTATTGAAAGAGAAATTTTTGTTTTAAACTGTGATAAGAAATTACCTACCTACTTGGTATCTGTAACACGATTGCGAAAAGACTTAAAAATTGCAATTTTTTCCTAATTTAAAAAAATCACAGATTTCAATAATATCTTGCTATGAAAGATTATATTTCAAACTTTAAAAAGTGCAGTAACTATGCAACATGCGTGAACAATAATCCAAACAATGTGGATAGAATAAAATCTGCATTATTTTAAATTACTTTTGCCTACTTTTATAACAGAGTAATCCATCATCATATCAGCCACAAGAAGTCCTCAGCTGAACATAAGCCTCCCTCAGTAACTCCTAAACCAAATGCTTGGAAGTTATAACCACTCACATAGAAACCAGTATGTTACTTAATTGTATTTGTTATTTTATAATATCCTGCATAATTAGCGCAATATTATAATAATACACATATCATTAAAGAACTCAGGCCTTGTTTAAAATTTAAATACTCCAATCATAGAAATTATTTGGCAGAATCCCATATTCTGAGAAACCTTGTAAAATTATGTATAGTGCCAATTTCCTGAACTGTCTATTCCATATTTTTTATCTAACAGTTTAAATAGTATTTAATAAATTTATTTTCTTAATAAAACTAATAAACCTAGACACAAAATAATGTAAATAACATTTATTACTTAGTTGATTTCTTACCAGTTTCATAGTAAAAGATTTCTGCCTGATAGCCTTAGAAAATATAAATATTGACACAAATAAAGAAATTAAATAAATGTTCCTGCAAAACATTACTCAGTACCATGCCACAACAAACTCAATTCCACATAAACATAAGGTAAAGTTTTCTTTGCATCACATCACATCAATTTTTCATTGTGTTTAGTCATTGTAAAATGTACCCAATATCAAGTCTCTCAAAGTAGATATTTAATTAAAATTGAATGTTATGTTTTTCTATACATGGGTGGATAATGTAAACAAAGTTCCAGTGTTAGATTACGAGTTAGTTACTGTGGCCTTGTCTCATCATCTTTATTACAATATTGTGATGACTAATTCCAGAAGCTAGATAATATTATTGGCTGTACAGAATTAATTAATGCACTTTGCACAAGTCATAATAATTTTATTTACTTTTGTAACATGTACCTACTCGTTTATACTTGATGATGATCACATTTAATTAACAACCCTATGTTAAAATGTTAAATAAAGTGTGCAATCTTATCATCAACTATGCAAATAATTATTTAAAATAACAGAAAAACCATCACAAATATTGAATTTTAATCCGTACAATGAAAAAAAATTATTTAATAATTACCGATAGGCAGATCACACAGCAGGCAACAGGCCGATAGTGCGCCAAAAGAGGCGCCAGAAATTTTGCCTAACAACAGATGAGGAGCATATTTCTTAAAACACACTGCAACACCAACATGGTAAATACCAAGGAAACCACAACCCGCAAACGATAAGTTCATTATTCACTTAAAAAAAATCACCACAAAACTAAAACACAAAATAATTACACACTAAATGTATGTCTTCAATATGTTAATATGAACTAGGTCGACACACTCAAAAACTTTATCACAGCGAGTGAATTATAATTAAATCTATTAGATTAGATTACTTTAATCACAGATTATTTTATCGTCAGTTTAAAATTATATCGAACTGCCCTCGAAAACCACCTATCACGAAAGAGAAACTCGTGAAACTACGGAAATAAAATGTAAACATGAAAAAAATCGAGTCGTCGACGTTTGTTGAGTTGACGTTTGATTTCAAATGTCTAAACTAAAATGTCTTCTATTTTATTCCCTCGTTAAGGCAGTGACTCACTTCCGGAACACAGATAGTCGATTATTCTACTCGTCCTATGCCTGTGGTATTTTTCAATTGAATGAATGGTTGGTTTTATCGTTCTTTCATTCCTTGACTCATTGTCTTTGGTCGTGTTTATGTGCGCTCGCTTCATTGTTTTCACTGTGTGTATTGAACTCTATGATTGAACTGTTGTCGTTGTCAATTTGACTGTCATACTTTTTTCAGTCTTCAGTCTTCACATACTTGTCATTGTATTGTTGTCAATTCAGTGACTCAATTAGGGATTGTGTGTGGTGTTTTTAATTTACGCTGTTTACTTTTGTGCTAATAATTAATAATGACGAGACACGCAAGAAACTGTACGGCTGGTGCCGTATACACGTACCACGAAAAGAAGAAAGACGCTGCAGCTTCTGGATACGGAACACAAAGTGAAAGATTGGGGAAAGATTCTATCAAGAGTTTTGATTGTTGCAGCTTGACCCTACAACCTTGTAGAAATCCAGTGATCACAAAAGAAGGATACTTGTTTGATAAAGAAGCAATCTTAAAATACTTAGTTGCGAAAAAGAATGAATATTCACGGAAATTGAGTAAGTACGAGAAACAGTTGAAAAAGGAGGAAGCAGAAAAGGCGGAATTGGCGGCGGCTGAGAAAGAGTCAAATTTGATCAAATTCATGAACAGAGAGAAGAATATTTCGAGTAACAATCAACAGGCGGAAGCTTCGACTTCATCATCAGTGTCCAATCTCTCAAATGGGAAAGCAAAGAAACTTCCAAGCTTTTGGTTGCCCTCTGAGCTACCAGATGCTAAAATCACAAAGATTGAAAAACCTGACTCCACAGTTTATTGCCCAATAAGTGGGAAACCATTAAAAATGAAGGACCTAATTGATGTGAAATGGACTTTAGTTAATGATCCAGATGACAAGAAGTCACTAATTGCTAAGGAGAATCGATACATGTGTCCTGTTACTCATGATATTCTCAGTAATGCTGTCCCATGTGCTATTATCAGGTAATTATCACTCATTTCCCAATTTTGCTACTTTCATTATTAACCCATATATCCCTAAGCGGTTACCGGTGACCACTCTCCACAAACTACATTATAGACCTTATTTCCAATGTTTAGAGACAACTTTTGTATGAACAAATTTAGGGGATGAATTTCAACAGATTAATGACAATCTGCTGCAGAACTGAGCCCACTCATCTTTAGAGGGGTTTGCTATAATATAGATAAAATTGAATCAATCTATAAATTACAAATAATTACAATAATTTCACTATATTACAAAAGTCACTACTTTTATTAGCTTACTATTCTTGTCATAAGACTTATTTATTTTTTGTTCATCATTTTCAGAACTACTGGTGATGTGGTCACCATGGAATGTGTTGAGAAGATCATCAAGAAGGATTGGCTACACCCACTTACTGGTGACAAGTTAAAGGAAAAGGACATCATCCCTCTCCAAAGAGGGGGTACAGGATATGCCCTCACTAATCAAAAACTGGAGGGAAAGAATGAGAGACCAGTTCTACAAGCTTAGGATAGTTTATTTTTATATTTACAACATAAGTTATGTTATAAAATAGTTTATAAAAAATCTTCTTAATTATATATCTTTGAACTAAAGGATTGCAATATATGTACATAATTATGTATCAAATTCTTTGTATGGAAACAACCATTCGGGAATAAAGTAACATTTGTTTGAAATATCATTTCTGCATTTTTATTTTGTTTGTGGAATCTTTGTTCTAACTAAATAAAATATAAACTAAAAAATAAATTGAAAAACACTTACTTTTAATATACCAATTTATTATTTACACAATACAAATCAATTGTACCAGTAATTCATTGCATATTGCATTTATGTAGAATAATGCATGTAGCATTATTTACACACTTTACATTATTATCACAATCAGTGATCTAAAGTGAATACAAAATCTAAATTTAGCTTCTAAAGTTGATTTGTGAGATACATTATCAAATTACATTTTCATTTTCACCTACTTTTCTAAATTGCAGTTCACCTAATCTCATTGATACTTACTATAATACATATATAAATAATAGGATAAATAAACTAATATGCCAATAAGTACAAATCTATTATTTCTCTAAAAATATAATGTACTTAAATCATTTCTTCTTAAATTCTTAAAAACTAAAATTGTTCTTAGTCGCTACTATACTATGAATTATGAAATGCGAACAGATCCAACTGGAAGTCCACACCATTATTTCTAATCTCAGTCTCAGGGTATAAGTCATTGCCTAGTGTATCTAAAAAGTTTAATACTGATTCGCCTTGACTCGACAGAAGGCGATTGTCAGATGAGTCGTCTAATGTTGGCATGTCATTGCACTGAGTTAATGTTTTCGAGTCTAATGATTTCTCACTATGTAGCAACACTGGCTCCATCAAGCTGGACTTACTAAAACCATCTTCTGACTTCTCACTTGTACCTATAATCCAGTCTTTTAAATCAGGGTCTATCACATCTACATCTTTACATCCTAAGTCCACATCATCTTTGAACAGATCGTGTAAACTAGTACCTGTAGTTGAAACTAAATATTGTATACTATTTGAATTTGGCATATTAACATCTAACCTTCTGTCAGTATCATCTATGGTAACATGTAAATCATTACTTGGGTGAGAAATAGGAGTATCTCCTCCAACGACTATAATATTTGACATATCATCGTGCAGATCATCAGGTGAAGCAGGTTTAGCAAGGCGGGTATCATTATTAGAGTCTAACATATCAACATCAAGTTCATTTTCTGAATTTAGTACTGTAACATGTTGTATTCCATTTGAATCAGTCACAGAGTGCAATCGTAAGCTATTATTAGATGCCATGTCAATGTGGTTACTATCTGAATTTGTCAATGAGTCAAGTATACTATCAGGTATACTCAATTGTATACTGTTATTTGGGTCTAAGAGGTCACGTCTGACACTTAAAGTAGGATTTGTATTGATATGAACAGTGTTTTCTCTGCTTTGTAAATTAGTATTGTTCCCTGAATTGTGTAGTCCATTAGATTTCTTCTGAGGAACATTTTTATCGTTAGGTTTATTAACCATTTCTAATGACCGAATAACCTGTCCATCGTAATTAGCCATTTTACTGGGATTTATCTGGAATTTACGGAACACTGTTGAAGATGATTTTATAGGCGACGATCGAATGTCGAAGTGCGTACTGTGGAATTTTACGTAGTTAGTTTTTGGTTTACTAAGTTCCTTCATGGTGATATCGTCAGTCTGCTGTTCAGTCCCTGGTTCAGAGTTGACTTCGCAGTCTTTTGTACTCTCCAACAATTTCGCCACTTCATCTTCAGGTATAATATTTGCTGTTTCTATATTATTATCGGGAATAACAGTTACAGCATTAGAATTGTTCTTTTCATCTTTAGGAAAAGCGAAGTCTTCTGTTCCCAGTTCTATGAGCGTGTCTCCTTCCGATTTCAGTCTCATTTTTTTAGCACTTTGTTCATGAGTTTTTGGTTTGAGCTTCCAAATTCTCTTGCTCACAGTGGGCCACTTTGCCACTGAGTTTATTCTTGCACAATTTTCAGTTTCATTATCAGGATTTAATATTTCATTCATATTCTTAAGTAAATGTGGAGATTTAATTTGATCTTTATTAATTTGATTGATTTTTGGAGGATTGTGGATACAGTAACCATTTTTATCTTTTACACAATTTAATGCTTCTACATCGATGTTGTATTTGCCGGGATTCATGCCAAATAATCTGGAAGATCATTAAAAATATTAGACATCGAAAAAATAACTAAAGAAAAACAAATAGCCACAAAGTCCTATTCTTACCGGCCAATATCCTCATTGATTGTACAAGGTTGCCCATCAGTACCTTCTACTTTGCTCAATAAACATGGTAGTAAAGATTTCAGTTTGACAATAAGTTGTTCCAGTTGCTGTATAAATATGTTCGTCTTGTTTCCATCGGAGCCACTCTTGATAATAGCAAGTAAACAATGGAATAAATTGGAATGGATTTTTGCGGGTATGTGAGTGGGATGATTTTCATAATGTTTTTGAAGCCTGTACAGACTGCCGAAATCCTGTAAAAGTATTTTATAAACATTTTAATTATAGTGAATATTAATTGTAGTATCTAAAAACATATTGATTATTATTGATTTCCTTACAGTAGAACATTGGAAACAAGACACAATTGTACCACTTTTCTTCTTAGTCTTTTGTGGTGATCCCTCTGGTAATATTTGTTTAGGCAGTTTAACTTTTCGACCACTTCTAGTTACCTTGGCCTAAAAGAAAAGCCGGTGTTTATTATTTCCTTTTTAACGGCCTATACTTATGATATAGATTCTTATAGACTAGTTTCTGCACGCAAGTTCACCCGTGTAGATAAGTTATTAGACTTTAGACAGATTTTGTATTACAAAATATACACTACAATGTTAACCAAGCTTATAAGCTACAAAATAAAGTTTCAACCAAATCCGTCCATCAGATCCAAAGATGCAAACAGACAAACACACAAACAGATTATGTTTTTTAAATTATTTCTCAATTACTGGTTCCTTATCACCCAATTTTTGTTTTATTGAAAATTATTTAATGCTCAGACACATTTTCATTACTGCATTATATGTATGTATGTAATAGGTATAGATTATGAAAGAGTTTACCTCAGCCGGTGGTTCAACCTCTTCTTCAACAATTTCTTTTTGCACTGGAATCTCTTTAGTCACAACTTGCTTCACAATTTTCTCTGGTGGTGTATGTTTCACGATTTTCTCTGCTTCTATTCTTTTAGGGATTCTAGTGAATTGATGCTTTCGATCTTTTAACAAAATTTTCTTCTTAGCGACCACTGTCAAGTCTTTTGGAGATACCACCCTAGAACATAGAAAAAATATATTAAATAAAATGTCTACAAATGGGGAAACATAATTCATTCACTTATTATAAAAACATAGAACATGCTGATATATACTGAACCGTTTTTGGTAAAATCTTGCATATTTGTTATTTAACAATTTTACACACATAAATACTTTTGAACTACTTATAAAAATCATGAAAATACTTAGAACAATCATGACAAAGTCAAACTAATAAGATTTTCTTTAGCATGTGGTGTTTACCTAAATCATTACATGGTTGAGAAAATCATTAATCATCAGTAAACACCACATGGACGTGCCAAATTAAAACATGACTATGGACAGCTAGTTGTCCACTTATCAAAGAACAATCTGATTTATCTATATTTATAACATATTAGCTTCTGCCAGCAGCTTCATCCGCGTTACCATAGGATAAAAAGTAGCATAATGTGTTATTCCACACCATTATCTGCTTCTGTACTAAATTTCGTCTCAATCTCTTCAGCCGTTTTGACATGAAGGAGTAACAAACATTACAAACTTATTGAGCATTTATAATATTAGTAGGACGACATAGCCAAACTTACTTGTAAATATACTTAGTATTGGTGACCGGATCATATGTAGGCTCTGGTACTGATTTATCAGGATCATTGAACATTTTCAAAGCTTGATTCACCATCTTTATTTGATCAGCACTTAAATGATTTAAACTGAAATTATAAACAATAAATGTTTATTTAATCTAATCATTTGTAATAAATTGATATGAAATGATACAGTTGTATGTGACGTGACAAACACTTATACCTAGACCATTATGTTTGAGGAGGCTTGTTACAAAATACTCGTAACTGACTATTACTATGGAACAACCTAATAAATATGCTAGAGTACTAGTAAATATAGAAAACCCATATAAATTACACAAACAAGTAATATATCATTAACTCCCAGTCTGCTGGAATGCAGATCTCCATGATTCACACATCTTCAGCTTATGATTGTATGACTGCTGAGTAAAAACCTCTTTCACAGAGAAAAGGAATGATCCTATCACCATGCTCGCTTAGTGGGATCGGTGAACTCAAACTTATAATTCAAAATTATAAGTCCGGTTTTCTCTCAATATTTCCCTTCAATATATATCAGCCTGTAAGGTCAAACTCATCTTAGACAGTACATGTAACTTGGAAAAAGTTACATTGGTACTTGCCAGGTTTTCCACAGTAAACCTTCAGGGTACCACAATCTTCACAAGACACAACGTCTTAGCCTAAGTTAAGATGGTAAGCGCTAAGCGCGCATTTACAACATTTACATACATTAACATGCATCAAAACGCGCGCTTAGTGCTTGCCATTTGAACTTAGCTTAATTTACTACATCCCCTAAAAAAGACAGACTAAAGGATACCTTCCCATTGCTTAGGTACTTGGGAAACATGTAGTACTTACCGACTACCTACCCAAGATAATGCATTATTTAATTTTTTTACTAATTTCATTAGTGTGTTAAGATTGAGAGTTTATTGCATTGTGAGAAGACTTGTACCATGTCGGTGGTACAATAAAAGTCTTGCTCACAAATAAATGATAAATTACACATATTCACCTATGATAAGTTTCTCCTAATCTTATTAATTGCACTGATGTGTGTTTGGATCGAGTGGGTGTGCTGAAACATAAAATAATTGATTTAATTTATGATTAGATCCTTTAACTGTGATCCCCAAACCTTAACCATGATATTTTTGGAACGGGTTTGTTTAAGATGTGTTGTTTGTTTGGATCAGTTTTTAAAGGATGATAATGACATCAGTGGATGTTAATAAAGGATTTAAAATGAATGTAGATCATTTAAGGATCTGATCATAAGCAAACATAACAAAAGAAGCAATAAAACCTTCTCGGAGAGTTCTATTTGTTTGTTATTTGTTGTTATTACTCAACATTGAGTCAGACCTTATCTAAATGTGATTGTGATTATAATCGAAGAAAAAACTGATACTCACTTCTCTTTTGGTTTAATCTTTGGCAAAAATTTCTGTCTGTTGATGATCGGAACCTCTTTGAGTTTCACTATCTTTCTATCAATATCTATTTTTGGTACTGTATTTAGTGGATGGTTTATTGGTATTGGATTACTTGCTGTTGTAGTTGTTGTCGTTGTTGTTGTTGTAGGTTTTAAAATAAAGTTATCAACCACATATTGTTTATTTACATTCTCGTTTTTGGGTAGCAAAAAGCTCGCCAACTTTAAGTTATTTCCAATCAATACGCTCTCTTTCTTTTTAACCACATTGAGTTTGATACCGGTGTCTGTGTTTATTAACCCATTCTCGATATTTCCGCTGTTTTCGTAAAATGTTTTCAGGTTATTACTGACTGGTTTGGGTGACTCCACATTATTCGATGCAAGGACGTATGTATTCCCCTGCAAACATATACAACAAAGTCATTTCAACATTCGTTAAAATATCTGTAAATATAACAATGATAACAATAATTACCTGAGTGGCGCCAGGATCTTGTATCACGTAAATCGGGGCGTATTGACAATTGTTCACAATAATACCTTCTACAGAAGTATTCATATTGCTAAGTACTATAATAATTTGAAATAAAATACTACATTTATCTTAATTTTCCTAATTTATTCTATATAATCACGTAAAATAATAAAATACCACCGCGACGTTGACAATGTTGACATAAATCACTCGTGGGGATACCAACCGTAAAGCGCATAGAACTACTAATCGATAAAAAAAATTAACGTATTTCGTTAGTTTTTTTTGTAACCGTAACGTAAACCAATACGGTAGCAAACAAGTGGCAAACTAGCAAATAGGTAAATTAATTAAAATACAACGTATCCGACGTGTCAAGTGACAAAACAGTGCAACTGAACTTGTTATATTTAAAAAATAACAAAAATATTTCTTCATAAAACAGTATAGTAGAGATAAATGAGGGAAAAAAATTAAATACATGTAAATTACAATGTCTGTATTTGTACATGCTGACATCAGACATGCTAATCACCGAAGTTATGAATAAACTAATAAGCCTGGGCAACATAACATAGAGAGAGTAAAATATAACGGGTAGAAGCAAATGCATTACCGTAGCGTGAGTTTATGCAGATCTATAACACATTTTAGTATAAAATAAAATAGAAGTGATGATAAGAAACTTATGCCTTCCAGTTCTAGTATAAGATTACTTTTGCACATCTAGGGCCTCCACTCATATTACTTTATTTTGTTACAGCAAGTAACTGGATTACGAAACTAATAATGGAACTGGAACTGTGAATATAAAATATAAAGCCACTGTCTATTATAGATGTATTGGATTTTATATAGCCTGTGGTCGTTGCACGAAGCACCAGCCATAGACTAACATAACCTCTTTCTTTATCCGTCAAGCTTTGTAACACAAGGTGAATATCAGAAAAATATTCTTAAATATTGGAAAAATCTAGTAAAAGATATTAAATTGTGTCATTAATCATGTTTCCGAAATTTAATTTGTGATATCATCAATAGTTCACATCGAGACTTTCTTTTGTTTAGTAAAATCGTAAATCCACGTGTTGTGTGTGACTGTCGGTGATCGGTGACTGATTTTGTTGCAGGCCCAAAAATGACGAACTCCAAGGGTTATCGCCGCGGAACTAGGGATTTGTTTGCCCGCAGATTCCGCACTCATGGAACCATCCCTCTTTCGACGTACATGAAAGTGTACAAAGTCGGCGACATCGTTGACATCAGGGTATGTTTCACAAGTACTACCTAATCAAAAACTATTTCTTTGCAGTGTTCATGTGAAACTAATAATATCTATTTGCTGATTTTTCACTAATTTCAGTTTTTGAATCATTTCATTGGTTATTTTATGTCATTTCATAACAATGTGTACTAACATGTTGCGTTCAGAAGAATCCAGCTATATTTTTGTACTATGGCTATGATGTTATTCTTATAAGACTACCTATCATATAAGGCTACGTTATAAGTTTTCTTCAGTTACTTAAATACAAGAATAGCATTATCAAGATGTTGTTAATCGTCTAACCTTGCATGGTCTTGTAAACAACTGGACCTAGTTGTATTGGCTGTTCCTGTTCAATACATTTTCTAAAATATTGATTCCATCATTTCAGGGTAATGGTGCAGTCCAGAAGGGTATGCCCCACAAAGTGTACCACGGAAAGACTGGCCGTGTCTACAATGTCACACAACACGCTCTGGGCATCATTGTGAACAAGCGTGTCCGTGGAAGGATCCTACCTAAGCGCATCAATGTCCGCATTGAGCACATCAAACACTCCAAGTGCAGACAGGACTTCCTCAAGAGGGTGAAGGAGAACGAGAGGCTCCTGAAGGAAGCTAAGGCCGCTGGCAAGATCGTCAACCTCAAGAGGCAACCTGCTGGACCCAAGCCTGCTCATATTGTCAGTGGCACTGAGAAACCAGTGTTATTGGCTCCCATCCCCTATGAGTTTGTAGCTTAAACAAAATAAATATTTTTAAGGAATGTCCTATTTTTTATTTTTGGGTACCTAAGTTTCCTAGTTTTAGAGTACAAGTTTTATAAAATATATTTGACACTGCTTACCTGTCAAATTGAGAGTTGACTAGAATGAAAATGGGGTAGTTTGCTAAATCTGGTAGATTATTTTAAAATATTAGACACATATTTTCTCCTTTTACAAAATTGAATTCTTTCAAACGATATATTATTTTGAAACATCATTCTCCTACTAAACCTTTATCTAAGTATTGGTAACTTTATCTGAGGAAATTTAGAAATATGTGGTTATTAATTTTTTCATTTTCTGACAGAATAATTACTTTTTTTAATTCTCATACCCTGGCAAGTACCCTATTATAAGCTTGTAATTTATCTATAAACAAGTTATAGTGATTCAGGTTCCCAATCTTTTCCTGTCAAGGCCCCTTTTAATAGTCTGAATAGAGAAGTCTTTTATTCTAGAAGTATTTAAGCTTACGATGCACTGGTATAATCACATAGAGTTGCGAGCGGCCGGCTACACTGCCGATAAAAAAGTTATTGCTTGCACCTTTTATTTTAGTGTTTTACATCACGCTTTTTATCTCTGACTAGCGGCCCGTCCCGGCTTCGCACGGGGGGACTTATGATTTTTTACATAGTTTTACGTTTTATTTATATTTATTCTCAGTTTTTTTTTAGCGACCTGCCCTCCGTTGTCGATGTCGCGTCTTAAGGTAACCGATTGAACAATTCAAAAGTTATCTAGAGCAAACTTTTATAAGGATTGAACCATTCATTAAAACGATTGTTATGGGTAAACTATAAAAGGTAGACATATGCTCTCGCGGACTTTTTTAATAATAATGTTAAGATAAACAATTCATCTATAGAACATTTTTGTATAACTTTAACTATATGCTCAGCGCACGCCACGGAAGGCCTCAGAAACGATACTTTTCCCCCGTTTTTAAAACATTTTTGGTTACTGCTCCACAACAGCAGCTTTCGAATGGTGAAAAAATTATTGCAATCGGTTCAGTAGTTTTTGAGTTTATTCATTACAAACATACAAAAATACAAATCTTTCCTCTTTATAATATTAGTATAGATGGAGTAGGCAGAGGTATGTAGGTATTAGTGCCATTACTTTAGGTTCCTAAAATCAATATAGATACTCAAAAATATCTATTCGAGAATTGAACATAAGAACACTAGGTCGGCATCGGCAGTCATTCTTGCGGCCAATGACATCTTTGTAACTATACTGACAATATTATTCTTCTATGGAATCGTGAGTGCTTTAGAGTAATTAGCTCACAACTGAATTTGTGTATCACGCCCTATGAAGTTGTACCATTTATTTATTTATTTATAGCTTAGAAGCTTACAAAAAAATAAAAGACAATAAAATCACGTGGAGATAGATCACGTTTTATTTTGAAATGAAATGAAATATATTTACAACAGTATGACAATTAAAAGATGAATAATAATATATATATATAATCAATGATTGGAATTAAACAATTTTCAATAATATTATATGCCTTTTCAACTTTAACAAACGTGGCATGATAACATGATTTATTATAATCACTATCTTAAATAATTTAAATTACTAAAATTAATTGAATAAACTTAACAACTAGCATCTCTAGATTGATAAAATAATATATATCCTGTTTCTGAAGATTTCTGTATATCAGAAGTTAGGCCGTAGAAGTCTTCTATAGCAGAGGCATCTATTTTCTGCAATGAAATAATATAAGAATGTAAATATCAACAATGGGATTGTCATAATATTTAGATGCGTTAAACAAAAACTCATCTTAAGATAAGATCAAAGAAATGTTAAAAATGGGGAATATAATATCAGCATTTGATATAATCGAAAGATAAAAAATAATACTTTATTTTATTCAATATATTTTCCTTATGTAAATGAAGTACAATAACAAAGCTAGGATAGCTTAGAGAGATAGTATAGTCTGATGTTTACAAAGGTCCGTGTCATTATCATGATTATCAAGAGATCTTAGCAGAAGTGCTAGACTTTCTGGTAAACATACACCTCACAGAACGACATTTGTATCTCATCATCATCACTGTAACTGCCACACAGTAATGGAAAGGCCTCTTATTACACAGAGAAAGGTTAAAAAGTAAAAAAAGTATAATAATGGTGGTATACTCACATCTACCATATCGTCGTCAAACAGCAGCCAGAAGCCGTGGCTCTTCACAATACTGATGTAGTGTCCTCGGTTGGGTCCAGAGCCACAATGCACCACCACAGCTACCAAGTCATACAACCTGTCTGGGTTCACTGCATCATCAGACTGTAAGGGAAAATGCTATAATATATGTATTCAATTGTGCTATCAGATTCATCTTTTCTATACATAATTGGTAATGTATTTCTATATTGTTACTTTAATATCACAACATTACACCTATCATGTGCCTGTCCCCAAAGGGGATAGACAGAGTACAAGGTGCATTTTTATATTTGATAGGCCGACGTTTGACTACTATCTCGCCTGGTGGTAAGCGATGATGCGTCTACGATGGGCCTTGAAGACACCCAGGTATACCCTTCATGAAATACAGACTCTGGCAAAGACCATGAATCGGTGACCCTTCGCCGATTGTCTTGTAGTATGATGACGAAAAGTACTAGGGGGAATCAAGTTTGGCAATTCCCCCACAGGTAATAGACAGTGAATCTATTGCCATATAGCTGCAATGGGCGCAGTTTCAAACCTTGTGGTAATTAAGAATTTACGAAAAACCGAAAACGCGAACAATGCTGAGCGTGGGAATGAAACTGAGGGTATGGTTGTTTGCGGCCACTTGTCTTGCAGGGCATTATTTATCAAAATGAAAATAATAAATAACTGCTTGGTTCATCGCAAGTGTGACTACACTACTTTCCAGATGATAACAGAACAGGAATTTTCTATTGTAAAATTCCAAGTATATAGCATGAGAGCTAACCTTTATAATAAGACATATAATGTCCATTATGATTGAGTATTCCTGTTATTTCAATTTAATTATTATTATCTAGTAAAAGGAATGTATAAGTAATAAATAAGAATCTATTGAACTCACCGTATTGAACAATCTCAGCTCCAATGGGAATACGACTCGGTGGGACACCTTAATATGTCTATTATATTGTTCCATGTACTTAAACCTCTTAAGATGTAGAGCTAGAATGAGAGGGAGTTTCTTCACTCTCATACGTTTCTGAGCTTCTTGATAGCTGCTACAATTGTCACATTTAAACTTGTTGTCGTTGCATAATGTTTCTGTGTCGCTAAAGCATTTCAAACAATGTGTTATGCTTGTGTTTTGACCAACGTCCACCTGAAAGAATTGGATTTATTGTAACTACATTGTTGCTAATAAATTAACTTCTCACTAAACGTATTCGATACTAGTTCATAGGTACTCGATTTATATTCGAATCCTATGTCGTAATAAGCGCGGTGATAAAATTTATAAGGGTAGAATAGAAACATCCGTTTCTTATTGTGGGTAAACAACAACAAATCTAATACGCCCGAAGCCGAGTAAATAGCTCCACTAAGGGAAGGCGTCGAAAGGATGTTGTTCAATAGTGCATCTTCCATGTCCCATGATTTCGATTTTGAGTTAAGATACAAAAACAATGTCTGGAATGAAATGAAATGAAAAATATTCATCTATTATCTTCAGACTAAGGTGGACAGATACCTGATAAAGGTCGAGGAAGACGATGTGAGATTCAGGGAGTCTTATGTTTAGCAGTGAATCTTCTGGTGATACGATATGAAAACTACAACTGTAACTGTACCTGTAAATCGAAGAAATGTTCATCCTTGCTGCTAACAGTCTCACAGTTGAGGCACCGAGTCTCACTGGTGAGCGTGCCTTGGAATATCTCGTGCACCCATGTAGGTTCCGCGTTCTGTGGCGCAGTACCGTTGCACGTAACATTCTCACCAGACGCATTCTTTTGTACTTTCAGTGTGCTTTGATTGCGTTCAGCTAGAAAAAAGTGTAGGTAGATAAAACTCTTGTTACATTCATCTGTTGTACAATGGTGGACGTCCTTATCACAAGTAGCGATCTCTTACAGACAAACTTACGATAGATTATTGAGAATAGAAAAAAAAAATTGTAAATTGTGCAATTAAGGCACATGCAGTGGCTATGTAGTTGCCGGTTATAATTCCCATGAATGACAGTTTTTAGTGTGATATGTTGGTTGAAATCTGAATATGATGATTGACAGTCAAAAACCAGAAAAAAGTTGAATTGATGATTTAACAAACTTACCTAAAATAATTTCATTAATGTGGTTGATTAGAAAGTTGAGAAATTCATGAGCATCTTGTTGCATATAATTATCAAACTCTTCTGCAATAAAAAAGGCAAGTTTCATTAGTAAAATGCTATGAACCATACTTATGATTCTTCATGTCTGCCACATTGATAAAGATGTAACTTTTGAGCACATCTGTAGATTACATTGTTCCTGATTTTTGTAGTTATGAAAACTACAAGTAATATGTTGTAGTTTAACAGTAGGTGTGTTCATGCTACATGACTTGGATTTGGGCATTAACTCGTCGAGTGCCGTCGAGTTCATAGACACAATTAAAGAACAATAGGTTGTGGTCACCGGTGACCGCTTGATGTTTGACAGTTTAAGTTAATAATGTGAACCTTTACTTGAGTTGCTTACCTTTTTCCTTTCTCAATCTAGCAATAAACTTTTTAGGCGCTATGGAACCTACTTTCTTCTTCTGTGTTGCAATGCTATAAAACAAATCTGCGAGGCATGTTAAAAGGGTTTCTTTAGTTCTTTTATTCTTGGCTTTATACTCAAGCACCTTCTCTCTGAATGGGCGACAGAAATACAATGCTTGCAACACAGAATTACTGTAACAGGTATTGCCAAACTGAAAATAAATTACAAATTAGTTTGCTGAACTATAAACTGTGAAGAATTTGTTAAGTGTAACAATCGTGCGGGCAATCAATTTTTAATAGTTTCTTGTTTAGTTCCAATAGGAAATTTGTTATCATCTTGTTAGATACTAAGTTTTTCATAGCAACCCAACATCTGCTACTGTGTCGCATAATCATTGTAGAAAAATGATAAAGATGATAAGAAATTTCCTTATCTTGTTCATCATATTCCTTATTGCTGTCCGAGGACACAGGAAATCATGTTAAATAAAACATATGTATGTAAAAATTAATCTCATTGAAGGTGGAGGAATTAACTGGATTTATTTTAAATTTCTGAAGTAAAAACTAAAGACTTAAAAAAAATATCTATAAAATATTCTTAGTTTTCTATTTCAAATTAATCTTATTTGATAGGAATATTGGTTTGAAAAACTTACATTAACTAAACCAAAATAATGCTCGTTCGGTGGGAACTGCTCAGACCCAATATCTCTTTCTAGTTGTGATATATTTGCGCCCTGAAATATAGACGAATGCACCGCTTAGCACAAATCCATTAAAAATGCCGACATTAATCAGACGTTGCGATACCAACGGTTTTGTATCAATGTTCGCGTATTTTGGGTGTGTGGCTAAACAGCCAATATCCTGATTCAATCCTTAACGGGTAATCGCACTTAGATGATTAATTAACATACAATTAAACATGCATTTCTCTCACCATTCTATGTTGGAAATTAAGGCCGAGATCCTGACATATTGACATTTGCAATTCTGTTTTAGCAACTTATACACTGAATATACGGTCGTTACGGCTAATTATTGTTTATTCACAAATGTGCTGCACTTATTTCTAGAAACATAATTGGAATTTCTTTTGGAAATGGGCAAAATAAGCACAACAGTTACGATTATGACATAACCACAGACAAGTAAAGATGTAGAGTAGCAGTAGCACTTGGGTGTAAAGAAGGTAGAGTAAAAAAATAAAAGAAAAATAGGTATAATGGCATGGAATGAAATTATGAACGAAAGAACAAATTGAAAAATATCCCATACCTACATAGAAAATAAGAAGTTTTTTATAAAATAATTAAAATTATTTAATTTTTTGTTTTATTGCGGCAAAGAGACGTCTCGTTTTGTTTCGTTAGGCGAAAAACACCAACTCGCAAGTGCGACAGAATGTATGCAAGGCAAATGTAAGGTTTCTCAAATAAAATTGTCGGGTCGGGTAAATAACAATTCGGTGGAATAAACGACTAAATTGTGCTTGGTACATAGCGACTCGATAGAAAGGCTCATACTCGACACGCTTACTCATTTCTTTAGAATAATGAGATTATGCGACTGCTGAATTTGAGGATGTGAATGGGATCCACATACAACAAGATTGTGAAAAGTAGGTTTTTTGTATTTTAAATATGCAACTGAACCTAAAGGTCTGGAGAATAAACAGCGCACAATAGCGTGATGGTATAGATCTTAATGTTATTGATCCCTGTTATTGATATCGTGTGAAAATATCGTTGATTTCAAAATTCGAGGCTTATTTCCAATATTTAATTTAAACCAGGGATGGATAGAATTAATAGAATATTATAATTTTTTACATTTTAAAAGGTTGTTAGGCTTGAGCTTGCTATGAGAAGTTTATATATTTTTTATCTGCATTGAGTTCATGCCAATCTCATTTCTCTCATTCTGTCAGATGTGACAGATAAGTTCAGAAACATTCGTAACCAGTATTTTTAAATATCGTAGTTAAAAATAAACGGCTTTATATCCTTTTTCATGAGTTAATTTTAGTAGTATATTTTTATAAATTCTATCTATTTGAAAATATAACTATTCTATTACCGGTAGGTTATGTTGCTATAATCTAAATATTAAAAAAAATTAAACTTTGTTTTGACATAAGTGTTTATTCAAGGTTTCGGAACGCACAAAAATCGCAGCATCTTGCGTTTTGTGCTTTTCTCGTTCAGCTTGTGTGCTCCCGCGATTCTGTTCCGATCCGATAATATTCATCCCGATTGTTTTATCATTCCGGGAACGAGGAAGTTAACGTGGTCGTGTTGACGTGGCAGCAACCAACGGGTACGTGTCCTAATGATTAGTTTAACGGAGTCATATTCAAGTAGTGTTTTGTTTTAGTTAACTTTTGAATTTGCAACATACATTATAATGAGACGAATTTAATAGAATTTTAATTAGTGTTTTGATTTTAAGAAGATTTTTATATTGTCCTTAAACAGATAAAATGCTGAGATCATTGTTTGTTGCTTTGGCCGTGTCGGCTGTGTTTGCCGGCGTGCCGACTCCTGAGGAAACAAAGCGGATAATGGACCGCCTTTCGGAGGCCGAACATTTCAAAAACGAACACCATAACAAGCAGTTTGACCACGATGCCTTCTTAGGCGAAGATCAAGCCAAAACATTTGATCAGCTGCCTCCTGAAGAGAGCAAAAGGAGATTGGGGTGAGTGACAATTTTTTACTTCCTTTTTTTACAACTATTTTACGTATAAGTTTTGCTGTATGAACATATTTTTTTCGCAGTAACTTGATAACTCTGGAATGGCAAATTGTCGATTAAGTGTTATTTACCATTATCATTTTATTTTATTTGTTTTGATCATAATCATTTGTGTTTATCTCAATAAATTAGTGTATAATTTTATTTGATCAACACAACAGTGTAGGATAAAAAGTTAGATGTAAATTGAAAATGTTATGGTATTTTTTTATTTTAACATACTTGCAGATAATGGTAGAATAAGTAAGATAAGTTTTTAAAGTGTCAATTTTCTATTTACTTATTCTAATAGAAAATTGACACTTTAAAAACTTAAAATAATTTTGAATATAAATTAAAAATAAAGACTTTTAATAATCATCCTCCTTTAATTTCATATTACATAAAAAAACACTTTTTAATGTAACAGTACTGTTACTGTAACATAATCATAAAAAGTAGAGTATTCCAGTAACTTCTATTGTGAAGAAATCATGTAATTTCCTGCATCTTAAGATTATCTCAGTGTGTCAATGATCTCACCCACACTGTGGGTTAGTTAAACTAATAGATAACAGTTCAGACACTCTGTGTACATGTATGCTGTTGTTAAAATACTATTTAGGTGTAAATTTGAGATAAATCTACTACTGTATAATATGGAATGTATCTAATTTTATTTATCAAGTGTATTTATGTTGGTACTTTAAAATTTTTTTTCAAGGAATATTTTTTGTAGATAAGTTTATCCAAATAAACTACTTATTATTACTATGTTAAGGTACAATCCATATATTGGTTCCATCTTAAAATATAAATAAGTTGTGCAATTTGGAAATTGTCAGAGGATGCTAAAATTGTGACCATATTTGGCTCCTAGTAAATGGATAGCCAGATATGCAAGTGTTTTGAGTAAACAAACACATCCTCGAAATTAATATGATTTTATGTGCACCAAGAAGTTTATAATAATCATTAGAGATTGATAAAGAAAAAAAAAATGTTTTAACAACATCTTGACCAAAATGATAAAAATGAACTTACTAATTGAATTTAAACAAAAATCATTTAATCAAGTCAACTTGATTAGCTTTTAATGTGTACATAATGAATTCTTGTAATTCAATTTTATATGGCAATAGTAAAATTTTTATCAGATTCGATTAGCGTAGCAACATAAGGTTTCTAATTAAGCATTATATGGGTACATATATAATGTGCCATTAGCTAGCACAATATTATTGAGCTGCTTTCAAAATTGTGGTTATTGCCATAGATTAAAGTTTGATTTTTAGTGTAGTTTATATAATAGAGGTTGAAATAGGAAACTACAAGCATAGATATCAGAGTTCTGAGACCACAGGACATCCTATTCATATTATTGTGAATGCAACAGTTGTTACTGTTTTCCATTACAATTATTGAGTGGATCTGAACAAAATTATACACTGAGACATAGTGTGAAGTTTGGATTAACCAATAGGTTAATTTTTATTCTGTAAACAACCATAAATCTCTAGATACCAAAACAATTTTTAAAAACTGCATTCTTCAAGTTTTCTTCTCCAATTATGCAGAACTGTGTTTAATAATTATTACCTTTATAATTATGAATTATCTCACAAAATCTTCATAAAAGTATAAAATACATGTACAGTAGACATCGGTACATAAAAAACTAATCTACGAAAGTTCAGTGACCTCGCTATCAGGCGCGTCTGTGAATAATTTGATTAAATCATTCTAGAATCATCGTGGACAAGATTGACGAGGACAAAGACGGGTTCGTGTCGCTGGTAGAACTAAAGGATTGGATCAGGTACACTCAGAAGCGGTACATCAATGAAGATGTCGACCGCCACTGGAGACAGCACAATCCTAATAATGATGACGTCATTCCTTGGGAGGTGAGAGAACAGCGCATATTTTTTTTACTTACGAATAAAGACAGGGACGTACCGTGAGGTCTCTTTGTGAATTCACTAGCGAAGCCATAGGGATACGGGACAAAAGGATAAAAAAAAAGGTAAGTAACCCTCATCAAAGGCCAGGAGAAAAAAAGGATCGTAGGTAGATGTTTGGGACACGTTTTGCCAGTGACATCACCAGTACAGTGCTATTATTGGCTGCGAGAGATTTTTTTCAGATTCTCCGCCATTTGAGATTCGCTAAGATCACACCACAATAGTTCTTTGTATGGCCTGATCGCATATTTTGTACGTAACAGTTGCATTAGCTACTGCACAATGAATATGTTGCTATTCAGTCTGTTTTTACAACAAGGCTTTCAATTTAATTTTTTACTGTAGGTACCTAAACTATAAGTCGGTAATTAAATAACAATTCGGTGTAATTCACCACACATTATTTTAACAACAATTTAATTTAATCGCTATCTCGGTGATTATAAAGCTGAAATTAATTGAGCAAAACAAAATGTTCATATACCATTTAATTATAACCATCTATTGTATACAGACACGTCAGTTTTTAAATGTGATAACGAGAGACATGACGTTATCAAAGTTTAGTTTTATGGTTATCTCAAACTCTTATCATGTTCCTTTTTTGTATAATTAATTATTATTATTATGCCTGGTTTGTAAATGGACATAGGCGAGCTATTATATTGTAGGCTACATTTTATAAACTATGAACAATTAGTACACTGCCTCGCTAGGCGAATATTAGAAGAGCGACTATCGAGCCAGGGGAATCAGTTAGTCTTTTAGTGATTTTTTGACTATTCGGGAAAATCTCAGTAATAGTAGCATGGAGACGAAGTAAGGTTCTTTAAAAATAAGGTTTACAATTAAGTATTAATCCTCCATTTCTCAATCGACAGGCATACAGAAAGAATGTCTACGGCTTCATGGATGAGATGGACCCCAAGGAGCTGAAGACTCCCAACAGCGAAGGTTTCACATACTCTAACCTTCTGAAGAGAGATCGCAGGAGGTGGACTTACGCCGGTAAGAATCATCCATTCATAAAACTTATTTTATTTGCCGAATAAGAAGTATCAAGTTGCATTGCTGAATTAGGCCAAGGGATTTTTAAGGTTTTCAAATCTGTGCAATGAGTTTATTTATTACATGAGACTTAAGGCGGAGTCGCGACCGCTCGACTAACGATGCATAATAAACTTTGTAGTATGTAACTCAAACGCAAGTAAAAGCAGCGCAGAAAACTAATAGCGCAGTAATCTAAACATAGCTTTACTACCAAACATTACCTACGGTAGAAATATGCGTAAGCAAGTACGTTCATTGCGTAAGACGTACATACATGTATTATATGACCTGTTTATTGTTATTGGCAGTAGTGTAGTAAGCCAATTGAAGGAAATGGGTCATTGTTGGCTTTGTAGGCGGTAAATAATCATTGTTATACCTTGCCCTACGTGTTGGTAATTTCTGTGATTGCTATAGTTAAAGTACGTAATTGGAAGGTATTTTATTAATAACTTGTTTAGATAGAGGATACAACCTTTGATATTGTCTAAAGGATTTATAGAAGTGACCTTTTCGCTAGTTGGTTATGTCGTTAGATGTATTGTATTGTAAGACAAGCATGATTATAATACTGTACTGTTGTAGAGACTCTCGAAATCATTGACAGAACAGCTCATGACAGTCCAATGCTGGACCAATACGTCTCCTCTCCTCTACACAAGACTGTTTGTCTTGATTATTAGAAAGATAATATTTTTTTGGTAGCGGAAGTAGGTTGAGTCTCTACATGTTCGACTAACGAACTCGGAAGTTCTATCTATATTGTAGGAGAACCTAGTAATTACTTGCCACTAGATCAACACCACGATTCTTTAATAATTTACGTGATATGAAGAGCTAACGCCATAACAAACACCTATACTATGCATAAAGTTTTGACATTATATATGTGTGTTTAATACTTCAGATGCGGACCAAAACGATGCGTTGAACCAAACGGAGTTCGCGGCCTTCTTACACCCAGAGGATCACTCTGAAATGAGGGACGTGGTTGTGCTGGAGACTATGGAGGACATTGATAAAGACCAGGTAATTATAAAACAGGTAAGATAAGGTACATTAATAATGTAGATGAAACATAAGGTAGTGGAGTTGAGTCGAGCGCTTGTAGTAGTTAAGGATTTGGTTAAACTAAAAAATTATTCTTATAACATAACGTTTGGTTTAGTAATCCCATCGTTCTACCTATTTTTAGCAGGGAGCCTAACGATACAAATTTAACCCTAACCTCCATTCGATTCTTAAGATCTTCAGAAACCGAAAACCATAAAAGAAACAACGAGGGAATCAAATCCCGAATCTATTCCGCTATCAATGCAGTCAGTTCTTTACACTTTATAGTATATAAGTGATTACACCCATTAATGCTACACCCAGTATCGATATTACATTACATGTATCTCCACATTGCAGAACGGTAAGATATCTATAGAAGAATACATCGGCGACATGTACAAGCCGGAGGACGGCGAGGATGAGGACGAACCCGACTGGGTCAAACAGGAGAGGGAACAGTTCAATGGATACAGGTTAGTTGATGATATGCATATCTTTATATACATAATTCTGCTATGCGTGTGTATGTCATTGAACTCCTCCTAAACGGCTTTACCGATTTCAATGAATTTTTCTGTATGCGTTCTAAGTGGCGCCCTGAATGGTTTAGATTCACAAATCAGCCCGGCAGATGGCGCTGCAGTCGATATCTAGGTTATTTAAAACTTTATATGTTGAAATATCGCAATAATATGCATGCGTTAGTAACTATATGTAATAAAGGAATAATGTAGATATTATCGGAATAAGTATTGAAAAACTCCTAAGGAAAAGTTCTTAAAAAAGAAAACTATTCAAAGAAAAATTCTTTGACAATCCTAACATGACTCATTGGTCCACTGTGACATACGGAGTTCTCAGGTTCTTCACCTAAGTCCAGACAATATCCTTCAAAAGCTTCAAATGCCATGAATTCTGTATATGTTCATTATCCGGTTGCCCTTTTTATTAAACAGGATTCTTAAAGTTACTTTTGTTTAAAGTGAAAAGTAGGGCATAACATTTTATATGTGCACCTCTATCTGTCTGTGAAATGCTTTGGCATTGTTAGCCACACTCCTTACTTTGGGAATGTCAATAATATAACATATACCTGAAACTAGAAACATCCAAACTCACAAAATATCAAATACCTCCTATTAAATAGTTCATTGCTCTTTTGCAACAGTCATTCACTTGTAATAAGTCAACAAATCACGGCAATGAATCGGCGGCGGTTACCACAATGATATCAATTTAGCTCCATTGAATGTATTGACACTGGTCGCTTGGCAGTTGATTAACATACATTTTTGTTGCTCTATTTATTTTATAAATGGCATTGGGAGTTTGTGGTCTTGGTTTATTGATGATGTTGTGTGGTAGATGGTTATCAAAGTTAGCAACTAGATAGATTCAGCGTTGTTAATTATGTCGCATTCATTTTGTATTTTTTCTATACAGAAATTCTTGTTATGCAAAATATGTAGTCTAATTTAATTTCTTTAATGTTGGATCTATTTTTTATGCTTAAACCCAATCACTTAGTCTATTGACTTGTTAAATTCAGAAACAAAAGGCATTCGAATATTTTTTTTGTATGTAATCCTTATCCTTACTAATATTATAAATCTGAAAGTGAGTTTGTTTGTTTGTTCCACTTTCACGCCGTAACTACTTAAACGATTGCTTTGAATTTTTGCAGACGTAAAGTTAGAAGTCCGGATTAAATAATAGGGTACTTTTTAACCCGGAAAAATTGATATTCCCGAGGAAACACAAAAGTATTGGTATAGATGGCGCTGTGTGTATTGGTATATGTCACATAGGCTACTTTTTATTCTTTTGGGACGCGAGCGAAGCCGCGGGTAAAAGCTAGTAGTAAATAAATATAACTAAGGTCCGTACCAAACACAATGTTATTAATTTCAGTAATGAATTTCTCAAGCTTTAAGACATTGATATGAATTGAGATAAGGTTTCATTCAGTTTTAATAATGATTGTAAAATTATTGAATTCTGATTCTTTTGGCTGCCGTATGGGCATAGTTGTAATAAGTACTACTTACTGCTTAGCATTAATTAATGAGTAGCGCAAAAATCTACTATTAGAATTTTCGGTTTTACCAGACGAAAATGGTCACTCAATCCACTCGTCAATTTATGATAGATTATAACTAATTACATAAACATATAAACAATAACATGTTCTTCAACAGAGACACGAACAAGGACGGTTTCATGGATGAGAACGAAGTGAAAGATTGGATCGCACCTCCGGAGTTCGACCACGCTGAAGCAGAAGCGAGACATCTAGTCTTCGAGGCAGACACAGATGCCGATGAAAAACTCACTAAAGACGAAATCTTAGAAAAGTACGACCTATTTGTAGGCTCCCAAGCCACAGATTTCGGTGAAGCCCTCGCTCGCCACGACGAGTTCTAAATAAGGTAGAGTAAAGCCAACAAGACGATTACGTTGGAAAATGAATCTTACAATCGTCTAACATAGTTCACTTTTCATTGATTCTCAGTTTGTCATTTAAAACTCAACCTAGTTCCTAAATTAATAAGGTTGATTTTTGTGTGAGGGAATTAATTTCGTCTTGTTGGCATTACTATAACCGTTTTACTCAGAAACGTTGTTTAAAATAAGAATAAGAAGAAAGTGTTGAAGTTTTCAGCCAGTCCGAAGTCTTCCATACAAAGAGTAGAAAAAGTATTGAATTGAAATAGTTTCGCTTTTATATAGACAAATAAAATGGTCTCGAATATTGTAACAATCTGTACATTACGTAACTTACGTATTTAGTTGCCCACAACAGCGTTTGTAAACTTATTTTCTTTATTCTCTTCATTTTACACTAAATATTCCACGCAGCTATTAACTAGGAAAGCTATTAAACAATGTTAATGAGTAATTAACGTTTTTATCTAATATGTGATACAACATTTTATATTTTGAGGCTGGTAACATTTGCAGCATAGATTACAAACTTTTGAAGTGTCAATGTCAGATCTGTATTTTTTTATCCAAGAAGGTTCAAGTTGCTTTTGCATACTTTTTATACTGAATAGACTTAGCTATTTAATATCGAATCTCTGTGGCATTACTACTTTGTTAATACATAACTTAGTTTATAAGTATTTTAGTTTCTAACAACAAAACCAAAGTTAGGCTCCAGTGAATACTACAATAAATAACCTGTCGAATGATCTAGAATATTTTCTGATGATTTTTTTTATTATTGTATTTTTTCGTACATTGCAATGAATTGAAATATTTTTTAGTGTATTGTATCTATGTACGTATTAGCATTTATTAAAATTAATATTTTTTTGTATGATACGTATTTCTAGATATTGGGTAGAGGAAATGCAAAACCTTTTTTTATGCATTTGTTTTTGAGATAAAGTTATCGAACATTCCAAAATCAGGCATTTATTTGTAGAATTTTTTAGCGTGGTAATCTTGAAAGAAACCAAGTGTGGATGAGTTAATTAAAATAAAGGCTCATTGACATTGCCTTGTATAAAAGATGAGGATAATTGTGCGGGGCTGGAGTTAACCCAGAAATTTAACGAAATTGTGATAAAGTTGAAAATCTATCAAAGTAATATGCGATTTTCTATCGTAATTACCTCTTAATAATATGAACCTGAAGATGTCGTGGTGGCCCGGAGGTTTAAGACGCCCACTTCTCATACATGAGGGTGCGGGTTCGAAACCTACCAACGGCAAGTACCAATGTGACTTTTTCCGAGTTATATGTACTTTCTAAGATTATTTAGACACCACTGACAAACGGTGAAGGAAAAACATCGTGAGGAAACCTGGACTTATAATTTCTAATTATAAGTTTGAAATCGCCAACCCGCATTGAGCAAGCGTGGTGATTAATGCTCTAACCTTCTCCGTGTGAGAAGAGGCTTTGCTCAGCAGTGGGCATTTAGAGGCTGTTGATGATGATGATGATGAATATGAACCTCTGTTAAAATCTCCAATAGATAGTCTGCGTCGCTGGTCGAGTAGACACAAGCGCTAGTACCGAGCGCAATTTCGTCCTCGGTAGTTGCGATTAAAGTATAGCCAGAAGTCATTATTCTACGCGGATGAAGTCCCGGGCAAAAGCTACAAGGGATTTGTAATAGGAAGTTAGCCCGGTTCACACCCTATAATACTAATGGTATTGGTTAAAATGTGCTATGTTGACGAGTTTACTTAGCCCTTCGTACTCTATGATGCATTTCTTCCACCCTTTATTTTAAGTGATCGGTACTTAACATTATAAGAGTAATAATATGTTCTTTGACTAGGTGTAAAGCAATAACGTTCTAATTCTAACTGATACATTGTGTTCATATATTTTGTCTGCGAAGTACAATAATGTATTAATGACTTGTATTGTAATGACAGCTTATATTCATAACGGAATAAATATTTTTTTCGACTATTTCTGCGTTTAATTCGTATTTTAGTTACACTAGCAATAAAACTTACGACTGGTTTGATAATGAGTTTTTTTTTATGGAATAGTAGGCCAACGAGCAGATGAATCTCCTGATGGTAAGCGATCATCATCAATCAGTGGACATTATAATTTAGTCTAAGGTCGAAATACACAAACGCAACCCAATTTTACGTCTCGCGTCACTACAAATTCTTTGTAAAATGACAGAGATGGCACGACATCTAAGTACAACTTAAAATTCAGTAGCCTTTCAGTATTTGAGCGTAAAGGCCGATTTTTCAATCATGATTTAATTCTTAACTGTGGAATAAAATTAATATTTTTAATATGGAAGAATTGTCAAATACTCAAAGTATCATCCAATCAATTCCTCAGTTAAATTAATTGGCGTTGGAAAATCGGCCCTTAGTAGGCTTGCAACACAAGAGGTATCAGAAATGCGATGCCGACTATGTAGGAAACCGTTTTGTATTGATTGATCTGCATGAAACATGACTGTTATTACATAAAGTTGGAGCAGCTTAAACTAATCATGTGCTAGGTTTCGTATTGACTGCGCATTCATAAAACTTAAGGAAGGCGCGCGGCGTCAGAACGGTCAGCAAATCTTCGGTCGCCTGTTTTGAAGTCACAAATCTATGCACCGCACATGCGTGAAGGTCACGGCCGTGATTATTCACGGCACAGAATAACCATACGTAAACGCAAAAATTTACTACGTGATTCCTGTTAGGCTGCAAAGTGTTTCCAACTAAAAAACGAGTATCGTTCGTTCATCACTTGGAAAACGATCGTATTTTATCAAGAATTCTAGAAATAAGTACGTGTTAAAAATCAATAAAACAACAAGTTATTGTATTTTTAAAAACAAATTCTAAATAGTTTTAAATAGACAAAATCTATCTATGGTAAAGTACTAATGAAAAGTCAACCAGCGCCATCTGTTGATTTTTTTTTAATCTGAACACGTTCGATAAATCAAGCTAATGTTTTTTTTCTATAAATGTGTACAAAAATATGTTTCAGGTGCTTAACATAACATTAAAAGCTTAACATTTTTACGCGTTGTCGGTTTATGGAAATTTTAAACGAGTTGACTTCAGTATTTTCAAAGTTAAAAGGAAGTTATCGAAACGTTAAGTTTCCGCTACTTTCAAAGTTTCAAATTATTATGAATAAATGTTTCTTCGTAGAAAATATTGGTTAGTAATAATAAGACGATGATGCAATGCCCTATCACGTTTAAATTAACGTTTTGTTTTTTTAAATTAAACAAATTTGTTTTAGCTATATTTTTTATAATAAACACTAATTTGACTTTTCTTCTTCATTCATCCAATATTTTCGGCCATATTGTTTTCATGTGATGTGCGACCGCTTTGTATGTTTTCATTTAAATTGATAGGAATTAGTTTTAAACATAAAGTTGCGTAAATATGTGTAGAAGTAGATAATTATAATTATATGTAGGCTTTACAACTAGTGTATTTGTTTACCTTGTACAGGTACTTAAATTATTCGATTGTGAAGTTTGTGTTGATAATAGATAATTTTGTGTTTACTTGTTGAAAGTTAAAAACAGTAAGTTTTCGCAATTGTCCTTTAACTCGTCGAGTACCGGTTTTATAGACACAATTAAAGAACAATAGGTCGCGGTCACCGGTGACCGCTTGGTGTTTGACAGTTTAATGACTAGACTCAGATAATTACCAGAGGTGTGGTGTACTCGTGTTTCGAGAATTGGCCCAAGTAAAAGGTAGGTAATGTAAATATGTATTATATGAATCTTTTATTTAGCTCTGTGGTTGTAAAACTTGTGTTGTGCATTGTGCACACACAAATAACTTATTGTTTTTTTTGTTGATTGTTTGATAATTCTTAAATATCAACTTGGACTTCGGGATTTACTGATTTACATATTAATTTATTATTAATAGTACTTATAGGTATCTAAACGATAATATTTATGTTGTGGTGTGTTAAGTAGTAAGTATGAAACTGTCAAAAACCGAGCGGTTACCAGTGACCGCAACCTATTGTTCTTTAATTGTGTCTATAATGACGGTACTCAAAGACAGTACTCATTAATTACCCACGTACGTAGTTCGTTCCGCTTAAACGGAAGCCTTTTCAATTCACAAAGTTGCATACAGTAAAATAACAACAAACCATCCAAGCTTACGAAATCCAAGCATAACAAATTAACAAACGAAACATTTAAAATTATACACAGCGCACTTTACACTCGAGACTGCGCCTACAAAAGTTTTAATAGCAAACATTCTCATATAGTATTAATGAGTTGTTCTAAAATAAGCGGGCACTACCTGAATTTCTGTTCGAAGTCGTTGAGTATTTTATCAAGCGTGGATCGGCTGCCGTCAGGTAATTAATTGATCAGCATGGCGGAAGCAGCCGTGCGAACTCGCATGTTATTTTAAAATTAGTGCTGGCCTCGTGAGCTTTGCTATCCTGACTTCGTTACGGGTAGGGTAGGCCAAATAAAATTTCGTAGATAAAATTTTAATTTGGTTGAATATTGAATTATTAGTAGGCTTTTTATTACACTAAATATATAGTCCTCCTTACCGATTTTTTATAATATTTACGATCAGAATTACTATTTAATCTTTATACATTTGTATTCCTTATAATGTCAGCTTTATACTGGTAGTTTTTTATTTGCTATAACAGTTGTAGATTGGTAGAAAATAGGCTTTAAGTCGGAGACGTCGGCGACGCGTTAGCGACCGCGTCGCGCGGGCGTTAGAGGCGCGTTGCTAACGCAAAGCGGGGCGGAAGAGTGGATAAACGGTGAAGGAAAACATCGAGAGGAAGGAAACCTTGGCTTCTATATCTTAATTAGTTATAAGTTTGAAATCGCCAACCAGCATTGAGCAAGGATAGTGATTAATGCTCAAACCTTCTCCGTACGAGAAAAGGCTTTTGGTAAGCAGTGACCACTTATAGACTG